GGTATGCTGGTGATGCTTTCCTTCTCGTTTCCTGTGTTAAGTAGCATAGTTGGCCAGTTCCACGTGACTTCCTAATGGGGATGTGTTGCATATATCTGGGTTCTTGCCATGCGTTTATGTCGCATGGTATAACATTCAATCCTGGTCCAGTAAGAGAGTTTGGTGTCGTAATGTTTACGTATAGGCTGAGTATGGCCTGTAAGAGTATCCTTACATGGGTCTGCGTAGTGGTTGGATGCGACCTGACTTTCTGATAACGTGGGGTATGCAATGGTTCTGAGTCGGGTGTTTGAATTGTGTCAGTTTCTCAGTGGAGTTCCTGGTATGTGGGGGATGGATCGGTAAAACTGCGAAGCATGTTTGTGTTGCCTCCCTTCTTATTTCTTGTGGGTAGCGATTTAGTCATTGGATCACTTTTTGGATGCAACTCCTTACATGGGTGTTTTGGAGCCATGATTACGACACCAGACAATGCAGATTCCTTTAAGCCTATTTACACTTGCACCATGTACAGATCAGTGCTCTTTAGTGGTTTTCTCCTGGTATCCAATAGCACATTGTATGTTTTGTGTTCTATTTTCTATTATCCTTTGACCTTTGGCTTGTTTACTTCCTTATGCGACTTTCTATGTTCCCTAGACCTTGGCTCACTCCTCACTATTCGTTCCTGTGTTTCCAGTGTGCTAATATATGTCTCTGTTGGAATGGATAGCGTTAAACCTGGATATTCCAACATTCAGTTTATGCATCTATCCTGATTTTCTCTATTTATATGCCCTTATATAGCCTAAAGTGATAATGCAAGATCAATTCAAAGTGAATTTCAAATTTAAGGCCAAAATAGACGAACAGGAAACATTTCCGTTACTTTTGCCTTAAATTTGAACTTCCCTTTTAATTCTCCCTTCAGTGAATAAACCTGTATTTATTGCCAACAAACGTGAGAAAGAGAGTGCAAAAAATAATAGTTAAATATAGCTGCGTCTTTACAGATAGGCTATTGAGTTAAATAGCTCACTAAGGTTATATATGCATCTAAAAAGTGACTAAGTGCAGAAAATTGTAACTAAGGTACACAATAAATACCAGCAGCTGAAACAGACAGAAAATTTCCCAAATTCTTTAGATACAATGTCAATAGGTAATTTCAGCGCTTAGTAGCTAACCCCTTTTAAAGTCATATAGGGGTATAAACCCCAAACTGTAATATCACAAATAGTCTTATTTGTAGAACTTAAGTAATGATAACCAAAAATTAGTCAATTAGAGTCACTTGTAGGGAAGGTGGTCTAGATCTTGCATACATCAATGTTGAACCACATAGTGTGCTGGGTATCAAGATCTTGATAAAGCCCTCAGAAGAAGGGAGAAATGTGTTGAAGGTGCTCGCTCTCAAGCTCTGCAACTTGCTACCCCTGAAGGGGCTCCAGTGTTCAACAGGACTCACCTCCAACGTTCTTCCACCTTAGATTGTGGACAGCTTGCCTTAGTGCACGAGGTAGACACTGTCTCTTCTGGAGAACCGGGTGCTCCTATCCGAGGAGAAGCTGTTGTGTATTGAACTACTACTGTGGCTCTTAGAGATAAGTACCACATTTTTATCCTGTAAGAGTTCCTTATTTGTTTTTGTTTTTTTGTACTGGGGTATTAAACATAATGGTGTTATCTTATACAGTGTCACACTATATTTTATTTTCTTGCTTTAAGGTATACCCAGCATACTACCTGGTTCAACATTGATGTGTACAAGATCTAGACCACCTTCCCTAGAAGTGCCTCTAATTGACAAATTTTTGGTTATCATTACTTAAGTTCTACTAATAAGACTATCTGTGATATTACAGTTTTGGTTTTATATTTTTACCCCTATATGACTATTTATTGACATAGATAATTCTGAAAGATGCGTGGTACTTTATTGATCTCAACACAAAGTAAACCCATACATTGTCTGTGTATATAAGCAGATTTATCATCGGTTGGCCTTCTGAACACTGATACTGACAAAACCAAACCCAACAATTACAGGCATTTTACAAAGATGTTTATACCTATTTGTGCTGTATTTAACTAATTAATTAAAAAGGTGCCACTATTTAATTTTTTTTTGAACAAAGCAAATTTCAAATAGCTCAAGAATAAAATGGAATGTACCTTTATTGACTTATACCATTTTATATGACGTAAAGGGCCTTCAGGATGTAGCATGCAGGCTGCCACAATGCCAATAATCAATCACGTACATGGAATTGCCAGGGGAGGCCATAATTAAGTACATAGTAGCATATTTGTATGAACATGCAGCTCTTACACTGCAGTAGGAAGTAATGCGAACTGATTATCCCACTTTTCCCATTATTTTGATTTTAAATATAAAATGTAAGTTATTTTCGTTGCTTTTAAAAAAAAATATATATTCAGTGGTGCTATTCTAGGTCCATGTTACACGTTGAGGTAAAAGCACATTTTTAAACACTTCTAGCATAAAACCAATGACCTTCAAATGACCAGTTCTTAGTTTCAGCGTGGTAAAATAGCATACAGAATCACATTTCATGACACTATTTGTAATTTAGTGAGAAAGTTCTAAGAGCTAAACATGATACAACTCTCCACTGATTGATGCAAATTCAGACTTTTAAAAATATCTGGTAGACATAGCATTTCTGAAATATTAAGATTCCACATTCTCCCAGAATGCAATGTTGCATATGCCAATGTGCACAGACAGTAAGGATTTTTTCACTCTGCATTTCAGCAGACACCCTCTCCAATAGGGCAATGTTTCATCCTTATTTTTTTTTATTTTTTTTAAACATTCTGTGTTTCAAAGTAATTGTTACAACTGTAAATGCACTAACCCATTCTGTAAGATGAATCAACAATTATTCGAATACAGAGAGTGGAAGAATAATTCCATGGTTATTCATATAGTTAGCACATCTCGTGAGCTTTATATCTGTGTTGGGGTAGTCCGAGTGCTTTTGATCTGGCTCAGGGTTTTATCTGTTAGCGTTTCCAGCCTGTGTTTGAATTAAATTATGGCTAGATAGCCAAATATTATAAAGGAACAGAATATAGAGAACAAATCGAGAACTAAACAAGAGAAAGGTTATATCCATCCCTAGGTTTTTAAACTTAAACATGGGATGTGATCCAAACAAGGCCAGTTTGTGAAGGCTACTTGTAGATATGCAGATTTAAGTCTAAAAATTATGCTTGTCTATGCTCATTTGCATATCGAGCAGGGTATTCTCGGAGAATTGTGGAAACTCGATTTCTCAGAATGCTGTGCCTAAGAAACTTTTCCTATGGTCTGACATGATATACAGGTGCCGAAAAAAGCAGTACATTTACTTTAGTGATATGAGAAAATTGTTCAGGGGTCTCAATATATTTTTACTGTTTTCATGTTCAAATATTGCAAATTGTTGAACTAGAAGTCTCAAGCCATGCTGAATTTGCTGAATTGACAATCGGGCATGTTAAAGGGAAACTATAGGCTAGTAACACAAGATTTTATTCCTAGCAGTATAGCACCCTATAGTGCCTTCCTCACTTCAGCAATCCCCCGGAGCGCAAAAAGGGCTGAAAACTCTTAATTCACTTACCTGAATCCAGCGCCGATGTCCCCTGGTGCTGGGTCATTCTCTACCTCTGCTACTTCTCCCCATCATGGACCTAATGCCCAGGTGCGGCAAGCGTCGCAATCGCATTAGGACAACACAATAGAAAAGCATTGAATCAATGCTTTCCTATGGGCTTTTAGCTGACAGTGGATGTCCTCACTTATAGGTGGAGTTAATCCTGCAAAGTAATTATTGTAGTTTCTCAATAACTGCAATAATTACATTTGCAGGGTTAAGGGGACAGGGACACAGCACCCAGACCACTTCAATAAGCTGAAGTGGTCTGGGTGCCTATAGTGTCCCTCTTCCCTGCAATTCAGCTGACAGACATCGTTTATGGGATGTAGATGAGCCTTAGCCCCTAGGAATACAGTGAATATATATATTCCAGCCTGTAATCAGCCAACAGATCAGTATACATATATTTGGTGCATCTTCTATCCTGTTAAAGAGGGAAGGAGTCATCCCAAAAGGACTCATGCCTATTTACTTAAAGCCAGGTCACAGGCTCTGATGCAGGTAAGAATCAATCTTCACCTTTATATGCAATTTTGTGTATTGCTATCTTAAAGATTTTAACACCAGGGCGAGTTTCCCTGTTCTCCCTCTCCCCTTGAGGAGTATATCTTATTTGGATTCAAAAGGTGTGTGTCACCTTAAGGACACAAGGCAAGAGTGATTAGAGCCAATCCCCAATAGGCTCTGAACCACGTGAGTGCTTCCTATTATATGGTGTACAACCACTTCCTTCTGTACAGAGTACACTATATATTTATTTTTTCTAGTTACACAATACCTCCTGTACCCCTAAAGAATTCTGGGGAGTAAGTGAATACTATAGCGCTACACACTTCCACTATTACATACTGGTTATGTAAATAGTGTATTTTTTCACATTTGATCACAATAGGATTGGAGAATTCATATTTTTTGTGTGAGAGCTGCTGCATCAAAAAAGCACTTGTAATTTGTTTTAAGCGACTGTTAACACAGAATATTTTGTTATATTGTTAATATATGTGTATATATATATATATATATATATATATATATATATATATATATATATGTTTTTTTAATTCTTTATTTTGGTTGTGCATAGAATATACAGGTATGTTTGCATTGTCACAACAGCTGGTGCAGGCTTTACAGTAAAGTTAGAAAAAGATTCGTATGGCTTACTAACAGTGCACATTTTTATGAGTTAATACATAATTATAGAAACTAGCTATGCCTGTAAGGGCTATGATGAGTAATGCAAAACCACTGAGTTATGAAATATTTTAACATTGCTACACATAGCCCTTGGTAGTGAGAAACAAAAACCACTGGGTAAGAAAATGAATAGTAAAACATATATAACTTGCATCACAGTGACTGAAAAGTTGCATTATTGTAACTGCTAGTTCAGCCTATGCCCAACAAATAATGTCCCATTGTCCAAGACAAGTGTTTACAAGTGGCCCACTTAACTGCTAGCCACCAACCTTGGGCCGGAGCACAGCCCCACCTAACCGCCTCACACATTTTTCATCGAGCCTCATACAGGACCTGATTCCGGAGTCTGCAACTAGGCGTGTTCATGTCACACAGGGTAAGTGCCATCTGGGATTGTAAGTTGAGTATATGGGGACCTCTCCTGGCCCAGACAGATAGCAGCTCACGGGAGTACCAGCCCTTCTGCGTTGATGCTGTTTTCGAGGCACCCGCCTCCATGCTCCCACGGTCGGCACTGCATTAGGGTCTCACCCAAGATGTCTTGACTGAATTTTGCCTTGCTGTGGTTAAACGTGGAACAGTGCTTCAGCAGCAGACCCCTGCATTGCGTTGTGGGTTCGGTCAGGTGAGGCAGGGCTGTGAATTTATATTTTAACTACCACTAATTGCATTTTAAAACTGTGCATTATGGGTCTTTCATCTGTTTCGTGTTTTGCCCTATTTTAGATCACATTGCTGTTTAGATTGTTGGGCCTGCTTCAGCCTTTTTTCAAGATGGTTTACATTTGATGTGTATAGAATCTGAATGTTATATTGTCGTTCGAGTCTCGTAGAATTAAGGAGAGACACAGTTCCAACTTCCTGTTTAACCCACTTATGTAAGAGTTTGCAACTTCTGCAAATTTTTCTTTTTTTTTTTAAAATTCTTTATTTTTCGTGCATGAGTTAATATAACAAGCTTTCATGCCTTGCCCCAACAGCAGTAGCATGTACCGATATAAACAAGAGATAACAGTTGTGGCATAGGAAATAATTGCAAATTTTTTGTATAAATTTGTCAAGAAAAAAACTGAGTGATTGTCAGTGGTGCGACGACACAACATGTGGTGTGAGTTCAAGCCATACCGGCTGACTGTATAGGCAAATTCACTAGGAGATAAGCGTGGTGTATTTGTGAGATAGACTAATAAGCTGGTGAGCTGCACAGCTAACTGATTGTGTGGATTTTGTGTGCGATGGTATGCGGTTATGTGACATGTGTCGTGTAAGTTCCGCGCCCATTTGGAGGCCATGCTTTGCTGGACTTGCGCCCTTCTGGGTTCCCCCTGGAGTTGGTCGCTGTGTGATTGTTGCCCTCTTTTATAGCGTGGCCAAGAATCAGTCAAACAGCTCGTCTATTCATTGGAGTGTCCGCTCCATGAAGTGCGTTGTAGCGTGTGAGCTGTGTGCATCCGCCATCTTGAAAGCCCTGGGGAACTGAGGCTGCTGGTGGGATATACCTGCTGGGTGCTCCCTGTGGCAGTTGTCAGCCGCACGGTTGTGTCGTGCATGCCAGGGAGGACCGGGATAACGCCTGCCGGTCCATGGGGGGTGGACAACATTTGTCGATTGTTACCGCCAGTTAAAGCTGCCGGAGAGCGGCTGTCTCTCCTTGGCCGGTCACTGGTAGGCCGCAAACTTCGAGTTGGATTTGCCAGTGGAGGAGAGTCCTGCAAAAGGCATCCCCAGAACCACCGGCGGGTCAGGATCAAGTTTAGTTTTGCTTTGCAGCCCGGTCGGTATTTGGCTCTATAAATTTCTCGAGTTTAGTGTGCCAGCCGCAGGAGCTCATGCAGCACACGTCTGTGCAGCTCTGCTGCCAGACTCCCCCCCAATTCTTCTTCTTTTTTATTACATTGAAGTATATACAAATGCTTAAAGACCAGCAGAGCAAATGTAGCTTCATACAGTATTCTAAAATATTGCATATAATATTAATTCTGTAAGTCTGAACATATAGTGAGAAGTTTTAGCAATCGTGTTATCCCTACCAGTTTATTCAGTCGATATTACAGTCATCACTCAATAAAATAATCTAAATATAAAAGCACACGATGTGTCAGCAGATAATGACCACGGTTTTATCCAGTCGGGCCATTTTTCCTAATCTTCTATAAAGCTTTTAACCTTATTTAATCCATGATATGTATTCATAGTCAGGACTCTCCATTCACTACTAAAAATCTTTTTTTATTTGGAATAAAAGACATCATGGGAGATGTATTTCAAAACACCAGTAATGACAGGCAGCACAGTTAAAACATGTTAATGTTATAATAACAATGTATAAAATAAGTTATTATCACTTAATATTAACTATATACAAATCAATTTTCTGAGCATGGTAACTTTAAACTTAGTGACAGACAGACAAACTTATTGTATTTATATTTACAAATGTGAGGTATGAATGATGCTTTCAAATGCTGAAAGAAATATTCTGTCATGAAGCGATATGGGTCAACTATTAATATCAATAGTATTCAATCAAGAAATATACTTCCTCAAAAATTACTTTTCTGTGTATTTTCATAAAAATATTAAAGGGTCAATAATACAATAAGCAGTAGTGATTATGGTGACAGTATCCGTCACCTGACACCACCCCATGGTAAGTAGTCAAAATATTTTTGATACTTACCTAGGTGCCCCGGGTGCGTCTACCTTACCCCATCTTCTAGAATTACTTTTGCAGAGGTTCCCACTTCAATAGCAGTGACATAAATTCAATTCTCAGTCAGTGTGAAATTGATATATCTAATAGGGGAAGACAGAGAAGGGGAACTATTGACTATTTACCGTGGGGCAGTGTCAGGGCACTCTTGGAACCATTATCACTACTGTGTGCTATGTTGTTTATGGTACCAAGACTGCCACTTTACAGAAAATGCTAAAATGTTCATGTGACGATACAGCCTTAATATATCGTCCGTGGATATTCTTCTTACATAACTTGCTGCATTAAACTGCTACACTAAATGCTAGGACTCCTCTTTGGTAGCGTATGCAGGATATACTGAGCTGATATCTGGTTACTATATGATATTCTATCCATCCAGTCTCCTGGCAATACCCTTATTAGTAATTACTCTATAGAGGACAATGAATAGCCATATCTTGTGAGACCTCAAGGAAGAGACAACACCAGCTTCTTCCTTGGCAACTCTACAGAACTCAGACTCACTCTCTGGCTGTTTATTGTATCCAGTTCCAGCTTACAAAGATCACAGCATACAGTAAAATAAACATTACACAAAACATTCACCAATGGGAATACAAAACAGATCACAGGGAAAGAACTACAATGCAACAAAGTGATTCTTTACACTAGTTACCACCTCCCCCTGTGCCAATACACCATGACAACAAAAGGTTATCTTGATTGGACCCACTGTCCCTTCAGAGCAATCCTTTTGCTGTAGTAGATAGATTTTTTGGCTCCCACAGCAGGTGGTCACTCACAGTGCAGCATTTAACTTGATTAGTCTACGGAATAAATTTCATCCCTAACTATACTTTATAGTTTATATAGCTGCTGCCCCGCTTCCCCCTTTGTTAACCCACATCTGCATATACAGACACACCGCTCTATGTATAATTGTCAGGGTCTTACCTGGGTTGGGAGTCTGTAGCGCAGATATGTTGCTCACCCTTGCAGATAGCCACAGGCCAAGGTGGTCAGGTAAGAATTCACCTCGCCTGTGGGTCTGTGCACGGGGGCTGTGCAGGATGAAGTACCAAGTCGCAGGACAGGCAAGGACTCAAACAGCAGGATCATCAAAGGATAGCCGAGGTCAAAGGATGCCAGAAGACAGGAACAACGAGGAGTAGCCGAAGTCAAGGGATGCCAGAGGTCAGAGTAAACGTAGTCAGAAGCCGGGGTCAATAACAAGTAGCAGTTCAAACAGGAACACTGGTACAAAGCACACAACAGGATCAAAGACTTGATCCTGATCACAGGGCGAGGCTGAGTTTAAATACCCTGCTAATGTCTGATCAGGTTCAGGTGCAGCACAGCCAAATTCAAGGTACAGCCCCCAGAGTGATAGACAAGCCAGGATGAACAGGACTGGAATGACTTGCAGAATACAAAAGCTGCTGTGGCTCAGAGGTAGGAAGCAGGACCAGGACTGCAAAGTTCCCCGGTTCAAGTCCCTTGTTGGGATCTCCACGGGTGACCACGTCTGGCCGTCTGTTTGCTGCGGCGAGAACCGTGACAGTACCCCCCCTTCAAGAACACCCTCCGGGTGTGATTTAGTTGCTCATCATTACCTTCCTCCTCTGAGAGATCAAATACATCATCTGGCAGGAGGTATGTTTTTCCATAGGCATCCATGCCATACGTACGGCTTTCTTCCAGATTAGAGGGAAACACAGCACCTACTGTAGCCTCTGCTCTAGTAGTTCTCACAGGGGAGGTATTTGCAGCTTTCAATGCTTTTTCAAATATTTCTAGATCCTGTTTGCATACAACTGTGCCATTTGAGGCATACGTGCAGTCAGGTGGCAGAACCTTTTTGGCAAGGCAGGAAGTGGTAATGGTGCTTGCTTGAGCAGAAGTGTCATCAGGAAGAGGTCTAGATGTTTCTGGAGCAGGAGGTGGAGATTCCACAGGGGTACTGGTTGCAGGTTCTTGAGGGACACTGGTAACATTGACTGTAGTAGTTTGGGTACCCTTTTGTGTCACAAGACGGGGACACAGCTGGCATGCAGTGTACACAGGGTGGAGGAAAGTAGTACCCAGTCGGAGAGCTGGAGGTCTAGGAGGACGAACAGGGCAAAGTGTGATGAAATGCCCTCTTTCTCCACAGTAGTAACATAGGCCATGGCTTCTCCTTCGGTCTCTTTCCTCAGGTGTCAATTTGCAGTGAACAAGTCCTAATTGCATAGGTTCCTCAGGGTCGAGTGGAACACAGGATACCTCAGGAGTTTTCCTAGGAACAGGATCAGAAGGAGACATCACTGGGGTGTAGTGGTGGTACTGGGTTTCTTGGTTACGAAGAATCTGAGATTTTTTGGTACGTGGAGCTGGCTTGGTCACAGTGGTCTTGCATTGTGAGTCCATAGCGGTACTGAAGGATTCCCAGCTGACAAGGACAGGACTCTTTGTCTGCAACATTTGGTGAGCCCATACTTTGATGCGTCCAGACAACAGGTTGATAGCCGCTCGGACCTTGATGAATTCTGTGGCATATGTTCGAGGCTTTAAAGAAAACAACACCTCACAATCCATCTTAAAGGACTGAAAGGACGTGCGGCTACCATCAAAACGGTCGGGCATGATGACAAACGGTTCAGGATAAGCTGGTTCCGAGGCTGGACGTACTGCGCCTTTAAGAAATAAAATTTCTTGCTGCAACTCCAAAACAGTCTGGGCCAGGCTGGACACTGGTTGGGACAGGGGTGAGCACATCTCTGCGGACTCCATATTGATCAAGTCTTTTGTCAGGGTCTTACCTGGGTTGGGAGTCTGTAGCGCAGATATGTTGCTCACCCTTGCAGATAGCCACAGGCCAAGGTGGTCAGGTAAGAATTCACCCGGCCTGTGGGTCTGTGCACGGGGGCTGTGCAGGATGAAGTACCAAGTCGCAGGACAGGCAAGGACTCAAACAGCAGGATCGTCAAAGGATAGCCGAGGTCAAAGGATGCCAGAAGACAGGAACAACGAGGAGTAGCCGAAGTCAAGGGATGCCAGAGGTCAGAGTAAACGTAGTCAGAAGCCGGGGTCAATAACAAGTAGCAGTTCAAACAACAGGAACACTGGTACAAAGCACACAACAGGATCAAAGACTTGATCCTGATCACAGGGCGAGGCTGAGTTTAAATACCCTGCTAATGTCTGATCAGGTTCAGGTGCAGCACAGCCAAATTCAAGGTACAGCCCCCAGAGTGATAGACAAGCCAGGATGAACAGGACCGGAATGACTTGCAGAATACAAAAGCTGCTGTGGCTCAGAGGTAGGAAGCAGGACCAGGACTGCGAAGTTCCCTGGTTCAAGTCCCTTGTTGGAATCTCCACGGGTGACCACGTCTGGCCGTTTGTTTGCTGCGGCGAGAACCGTGACAATAATACAGCAATATCTAGATACATGGAAAACAGTCATAAAAATGGCGTTGCAAGCTTGTGGCTTGCGCCAAACAAATCAGGCAATCCATCACAGTTCAAATACTAAAGAATGGGTTATGGCAATATTATTTAAAAAAACATAAAGTTCCATAAGTAATTCCATACAATCAGTGCATTATTGAGCACTACAAAGAACTTTAGCATTGGAGGTTAATGATAAAGTGGTAAATATAATATCTGTAATGAATATCCTACCCCGACTTTTATATCTTTTTCAATCACTGCTGATGACGCCACCTACTGTATTCTTCTCCTCCCTGACATCCGCAATCATAAAATATGTCTGGAAAGGCAATCGACCGCGAATAAGACACAAAACCCTGTGCCTATCAAGACACTGGGATGGCCTTGCACTCCCAGACATAAAGAAATACCACCATACCTCCACGTTACAATGCATACTGGAGTGGCACTCCCGCCCACGCCACAAGCAGTGGATCACACTAGCGGAGGCCAGCGGAATCGCACATCTACTCGAAGCAGTCTGGATGATTCAACCCACCACCCAGAGAGATCCAGACTGGATGTCCCCAGCAGGACACACCCTAAAAACATGGAACACCATGCGTAGGGCCCCGCAACTCTCCCCAGTCCCGAGCCCAATGATCCCGTTAACCAACAAGCGCTCAATCAGTGAAGGAGTAACTGTTAAAACTTGGGGCTTCCTTGGCGACCAGGAATTCACCCCTATACACAACGTTCTGGATGACAACGGACTAAAACCACTACTGGATCTTACCAATAATCGAACCCCGAGACTACTGCACTCATTCCGATACACTCAATTTCAATACTTTTACAACTCACTCAACAACAAATCAGCCACACGTAGGGCCTCACACCATTCGAGACTCTCTGCCTGTCCAAGACAATCTTGTACCTCTACCAATACACCCTTATAGGAGACCGCTCAGAAATACTTACATTCAAAAAGCAATGGGAACTCATCACGTGACACACATTTACCCCGAACCAATGGGCAAAGATACTCATCTTACACCACAAATCCTCAGTAAGTTCCCGGTATCAAGAAGTCAATTACAAACTCCTGTCACAATGGTACAAAACTCTGTCACGCTTACACAGGATCTTTCTGACTGTCTCGGAAACATGCTAGGAGGAAGGGACCTTGCAACACATTTGGTGGGATTGCAATGGCATCAAGCCATTCTGGGACTTGATCAACACCAAAATTGCAAAGATCCTGGGAGATCAATCTCGTACTACAAAAAATCCATTCTACGACACTTGCTCGACGCAGCTAAAGCGCTCATACCCGCTCTATGGAAACAATCGCAGACCCCGACACTAGCACAATGGTACAAACGGGTGGAGGAAATCTACTCCGCGGAGACTGTGAGGGCATCCTTGATGGGACGGAGCGATAGACATACCGAGATGTGGAGGTGTTCATTGCTGGAGGAGGAAAGGGGCAGAAGTGGAGGGGAGGGACGGAGGTCATCGGCACTTGGTCTGACGACACCACTCACCCCTCACCAATATGGTACTCCATACTTCATAACACCACGCTAATCTACATTACCACATTTACGGCAGACATGGGCAGAACACCCTGCTCTAGGGGGGGAGACCATGGTTAGGACCCACCTGGGGGGGTCTGCCTTGACGTTGGCAGGTGGGCTTATCCTCTCATTGCCATTGAAGGTAACTAAAAAAACCTCCATTTGTTTAAAAATACATAGGGATTAAGGAGAGAATGCAGGTAACTTGTTTTTCTTTGGTTTTTACTATATATTGGGGCTGATGTGTACTGTAGTCATTGCTGCCGCCCAGTGATGGGAGTGAGTGCATGACTTATCTTTCTGCATTTGTATCCATTTTTTGTATCACTCATCCTTGTTACAATGCAGCCGCCCATCCCATGTGTTCCCTATTAAGGGTTAATAATATATAGGGGTGTATATAAAAAATACCCCTTTCTGTCTCATTAGAGATCTTTGCCAGAAGTTCAAGGAAGCAACGTGAATGGTTAGAGTTAGGACCCACCTGGGGGGAGATCTGCCTTGACATTGGCAGGTGGGCTTATCCTCTCATGGCCATTGGAGGTAACTAAAAAAACTCCATTTGTTTAAAAATACATAGGGTTTAAGGAGAGAGCGCAGGTAACTTGTATTTCTTTAGTTACATAATATATTTGGTATTGCGCTGTGAGGTAGCAGCCCTCAAATCTCTCTATAATAATTTCTGGGGGGCAAATGCCCACTTGCCCCTTTTACCACCCTTTCCCTGGGTGTGTCTTGGGGACTGTGTTGGGATCCACTGTTAAAGACTTTTGTTTATTCTTGTCTGTGTGAAAATTTTAATTTATTATGTGGTGTAAAAGGATCTAGCATCAGTGCTTAAAAAATAATTCCCTAGGAAGCTCCACGGTTCAGAAATTAGGGACTATCTAATGCAGCTCTTCTGAAAACATTGATAACAATAGGTTGAAAACCACTGGTCTAATCAATAAATAGAGATTAGATAGAGATTGCAGTTGCCAAGCATATGACCAAACAGGCTTGTAACACCATTGCCTTTAATTACTTAAATTAAATATTTTTCCCAAGTTATCAATTTAGGGACAATCATATACTCCCTTTAGATGTTAACAACGTAAACACAATATTGACTTTATACATTCGTAAGATTCCACTGTTATTTGTCAATGTCTGTTACGACATGTGCGTGCTGCTATGTCTGAGGTTTGATTTCTAAGGATAAATGAATGTCAAATTAATGCTGAAAATGTGCATTCAGTAACCAAAGAGAGCCGATGAACATGTATGTAAATGGATTACTGAAGCTGTAACCATCAGGGAATTAGATAGGATGCTGCCAGTTCAGAATACAATAGGCAGTTAGAAAATCCTGTCTGGTCATAGTTTTGATTTATAGAGATACTAATGCATTTGCTAATTAGTGGGTTTTTTTTTTTTCTTCCTCTGCTCGGTTATTGAAAAGGATCTGTCACTGAAAATGATACCCCAAATGTGTTATATCACTGATGTGTGACTAAATTCAATTTGGTCTCTTTGTTGCTCTCTTTAGACAATGATAAATGTTGTATACCTTATATTCTAAAAAAGAAAAGAAAAGATTAAATGATTAATTAGTAATATGTATAGGCTGATTCTTCATAAATTTAGTTTACTAACCTTAGATTGTGAAAGAAACATGTGTATGCATCCCTTATTGTTGTAGTGTAATGCTTTCATGCATGTGTGACTAAGAGTGATGGGAGTTTTAGCAAAAATCACCAAACATCACAGACAGTGTCTGTCTCTAACTTGGAAATAAATGCCAATCAAACGTTTAATTCTTCTGATATTAAAGGGGCACTCTGGACACCACAAAATAGTATGAAGAGGTCCTTGAGTGTCGTCTTACCTGAAGGTTGTTAAAGCATTAATGAGTTGTTTAACCACCAAGTCTGCAAGTCGGCGGCCAACGCTCTGCATCTGCACTTCCTCTGAATGTCTAAAGCTACAGTCAGCTGACACTCGCAGTCTGTCAATAGCTCCCCTTTCAGAAAAGTGACTGCAATAAGATACATATCTTTCTCACTCACGTTTCTCAATGGGGAGCTACTGATAGGATGAGGAGCTGGTCCAATCAGGATCCAGCTTGCAGAGTTTGGAGTAAACCCTTCAGGTAAGAAAGTGTCTAGAATCTCCATGAACCAGAGCAACTTCCTTTAGATTAAATTGTTATGGTGCCAGGCAGTGGTGTATTTTAAAATGGGGCGGCCCAAGGCATGACAGATCTCGGTCACGCCCTAATTTAAATGTACACGCCCCTTCCTGCAAGGCCACACCTTTCCTGTTAATTAACACACATTTTGACTGACAGACACACACTCACGGACCAGCACACACTCTCAGATACACTAACATATACACACACATACACTCACTGATTTGACACAATCTGACAGACACATACAATCATTCAGATACACATAAGCACTGACAGACGCACCCAATTACTGACAGACATGCACAATCACTCAGACACACACATTCACTGACAGACAGACACAAACTCACTGACAGACACACATACTCACACAATGACACACACACATTCACTGACACACACTCACAATCACTGACACACACACACACACACACACACACACACACACACACAATAACTGACACACACACACACACTCACTGACAGACATACACACTCACTGACAAACACACACACATTCACTGACACACACAAACACACACATACACACACACACTCAAATTCAGACACACTCACTCACATTCACTGACACACACACACACACACACTCACATTTACTGACAAACACATACATTTTCCCCAACACTCACAATTATTATTATTTTTTTAATTAATTCCACCCAGTCTCCCTACTTTTGGTCCAGTGGAGCTGCTGGCCAGAAAGGTAGGAAGGTGGGCGGATGTGCAGGCAGGCTGGCAGGCGACCACACTATCAGTGAGGGAACTGTGATCTCCCTGCTCAGCTCCCTCGTGTGCTGCAGAATTATCCCAGGAGCTGGACTGACGTCATATTCCGGCTCCCGGCATCACTGCAGGTTGTGCAAGGGAGCTGAGCAGGAGAACTCAAGGGAAAGTGCTCCCTCGCTGCCCGCTCGGAAAACAAATTGCTGCCTGTCCCGGGGGGCCTAAAGGTGGCCAGAAAAGGCAGTAGCCTGGGCATTTGGGGGCAGCATTTTTTGCCGCTCCCTGGAAAGTGCCGCCCAAGGAAAATACCTTGTTTGCCTTGTGGTAGATACATCCCTGGTGCTAGGAGTGTTCCTTTAATCCTTTACAGTGCAGTACATTGCGTTGTAGACTTTCCTGAGTACCACAAGTAATCTGGGTCACAATAATTGCTATTGCCTGCAGAGTCTATTATAACAGAAAAATATTATTATATGTGTCTTAGCTTAAAGGGACACTAGTCCAGACTAGTGATGTCGCGAACCGTTCTCGAACTTCCCGCGAACGGCTCGCCGCGGTTCGCCACGAACCGTTCACGACGAACTCCGGTCAGCTGACACATCCCGGCCAATCTCCAGCAGACCCTCCCTCCCAGAACCTCCCACCTCCTGGACAGCATGTTGAACGGTTCGCGACATCACTAGTCCAGACCCCTAAATTACTTTAGGTTGCTGTGAAGCTTTATGTACAAAGAGTGTGTCCTCTTTTTTTCATTTTAGAAAAAGTGCAGATTTCAATAGAAATTGAGACTTTTAGAAATTAACTTTGTTACACCTCCCTGGCTTTTCAAGCAGACAACAGGTCCTGTTACTTCCTGGTTTTGGATAGCTTGTTTGCACTGAACTTAAGAGGCAGCAATTGCACAGAGCACCCCCTTGCAAAGACTTCCCATTGAGCTGCGTTGGGAGGTCTGTGATTGGACAGCCATAGAAAGTCTGGGCAGGGTTAGACTGGGAGGGCCGGCAAAGTCAGCAGGCAAGAAATCTGCAGACCTGATGCTATAGGTTTTTGGTGAAATCCTGATAAAGAAACAAGGTACAGAAATGTTTTACTGAGTTCATGATAAAGCAATTGTGAGCTAATCACATTGAACTTCAAACAATATTTTACCTCCCACCCTTAGAATGTTAACATTCTGGAGGACCCATACCTTTCTGTTGATCAGCAAACGCATCTTTACAATCTAATGGAATGGCATCTGTTTTTTGTTAAATATATGTTCTAAGTTTAAGAAGTAGATATTGTTGAGAAATGAATCACATAGAATATGGTGTAGGTTTCAAAGGGTATTGTAGTCATACATTAGGGCATAGAAAATTGTAGTTTGTAGAATCAATAACGTGCTTTTCTTCGTAGAGTAAATCTCGCTGGTTTTCAACTGATCTCTGTACCATTATTATATGTGAAAATAATCCTCTGAGTATGTTACAAGCATGGCATTTAATAAATCAAAGTAAATATAAAGTTTTGCAAAAATAAAATGTGTCATTATAAAAAGTCCATTCTGATCAAAATAACACCAGGCTTAAACAAAAAGGTATTAAATTGCTAATAGTTTTCCAATTTGAACTGTAAAGAAACAGTAAAAATTTTGTTTGAAAATCAATATCCTATAATATAAAAAATATTTTATAAATGTGCAGATTGTAACAATCTCTAAATAAATTGAAATCCTTCCTATTCTAAGAGCAAACATTATTTTTCACTATGAATGGCATTTGAAAAAAAATAAAAAAATAATCATAATCGTAAGTCTTCTTAATTATGACATTTAATCATATCATGTAAAAATGGTTTTACATAGATCTATACACTGTAAGCTCGTTTGAGCAGGGTCCTCTTCAACCTATCGTTCCTATAAGTTTTCTTGTAATTGTCCTATTTATAGTTAAATCCCCCGTCTCATAATATTGTAAAGCACTACGGAATCTGTTGGTGCTATATAAATGGCAATCATAACTGGGGAGTGTTGCTCGCAGATTAATGGAACCATAGCTACTTGTTGTGGTGTTTAGATTGGCCCTTCAATACCTGTAATAATATAAAATGTAAACGTTATACAGCGCTTAGTGTTTGTCATTTATTCTCAAAAGAGAACCAAATGAATTACAGATCAAACAAGGTTTGTTGTCTCTGACAATATAATTGACGCTAACTACAGGGCGGGCCAAAATTCTGAGTAGAATTTGACAGGTAAATAACTTATTTGTTAGTAGTTCAATTTTTTGTTGCAGGTACATATTATAACTGAGTCTTAGGAGATTCATCATGGGTAATTTCACGATGAAACAATGAATAAAAATACAGAATTTTATTTTCAAAAGGCAGGTCCATTATTTTGACACAAAGAGAGAATTTTCCTGAAATGTAGTTTTAACAGAATGGGACTATTGCCCATACAGCCACGGCCACAATGCACCTCCTGAGACAACTGTTTGGCGAGCGGCTAAGTTCAAGAAATTTCCAGATTAATTGGCCGCCTTGTTCGCCCAAGCTTTCATTTCCCGAATACTTCCTATGAGGATATCTGAAGGAGCGGGTGTACGTGAACAAACTGCATACACATGTGCAGCTCAAGGAGAATATTTGTGCAAAAAAACTAAAGCGCTAGAGCCTTAAGCATTAACTAATGTTATAAACAATGCAATTGAAAGAGCCCAACTTTGCAAGGCAGCAAATGGAGCTAATTTAAAGCATGGCATCTTCCGTACCTAGTCAAACACATTTCGAAATGTGAAGCAATCCTTGTATGTAATATCATGGCAATCATTTCATTAAAAAAAGTTATTGACTCCTCATACCCTGCTCTGAATTTTAGCCCACCCTGTATAAATCTAGCACATGTTTATTGATCAATAAAGTAATAAAATATAAATAATAAAATTATAGGGGAAATAACTAGCTGTGTCTTATAATTGATTTTTTAGATTATTTGTAATACTGTAGATCCAATGATTAATTTTAACTTCTAGAGGTCGAGTTGATTAACCCATTTGTATTCTACTTGCAATTAGCTGTCTTTTAAATATGGCATTCCCATTGGATTCCCATTGGATTCTACTCTATCCCACTTACCTTCGAGCTTTTCTGTTTGGTTCCATGATATGCATGGAAATGTGTTGCTAAGGTCATTTACTTGTTTTAATGGATCTACAATGTTCTCTAAATCTCACCATAAATACTTTAAATACTTCCCCTAAATTATTAAACTGACATTTGTATATAAGTAGGTAGACTATATAAATACTATTGCAGGTTATTTTATGTGATATTCCACATGTTGGTTCTAAAATGATTAAAATGTACCAATACCATACACAAATCACCCAAAATCCCTCCCAACAATTTAGCCACCTTAGGAGTCCAGCAACAAAATAGAAATTTTTATTGGTATGTGACCCACTACATTGTAATATATAGTACATGCTTTTTGCAGTTTAGTGAGGGCAAAATATTTTTTAATCTTATCAACTCATCCTTGACCTCACTAGCTTCCAAACTCCTTTCTATTACCTCCTCCCTTGGCCTATCACAGTGAGCTAATATTCCCAAACATGTAGCTGGCAGTACCCTCAATCTTATTTTTTCCAATGCATGTACTATCGCCCCTCAACTCAGAAGAAACCTGAATTCTATTGACCTCCAGTAACTCTCAGCTAATGTCCATTCCAAACTCTCATCCAACTCTACCTTCTCATGTCCCTCTCTGGCTATCTCCTCATAGAATGCAACCCTCACCTCTGCCCTGAATGGTTCAGCCCTACTCCAAACACGCACCTCAAGTAAGACGAGCCTCCAACCGTGGCACACTAAGTCAACCTGCTACCTACAGAGAGATTCCCGTTCAGTTGAATTCTGCTGAAGGAAGTCCTGCACTTTGTCAACCTTCCTCTATTATAAGTTTGTGTTCATAGAGCACAGCCCTCACCCTTGCTAAACAATCCTACTTTTCCTCTCTCGTTAGTTAATGCTCACGCAATCCCAGGGTCTCTTGAACTCGCTCCTTCGCCCACCTCAAGCCACCGCCCAAACTAACCTTTCAGCCAATAGCCGTGCATGCTACGTTATTGACAACATTGAACAGCTAAGGAAATAATTCTCCCTCCTTTGCTCCTCTCTCTCGCAACCACACCAAGAGCATACATTTCCTACCCTTCAGGCCTTCTTCCCAGCTAGAGAACAGAGGGTGGCTGCGCTTCTCCTCTCCTCTCATCATACCACCTGTCCACTTGATTCCATCCCTTTCCACTTTATCATATCTCTCCCCCTTTGTCTTGTACCATCCTTAACACACATCCTCAACTGATTTTTTTCATTTGATATTGTTCCTGCTCTCCTTAAGCATGCTACTGTTGTACCCATCCTAAAAAAGCCATCCCTAGATCCATCTTCTCCTTCCAGCTATTGTCCCATATCAGTGCTTCCTTTTTCCTCAAAGCTCCTAGAAAGACATCTTTACTCGTATGACTCACTTCCTAAATTCCAACTCCCTCCCCGATCCTCTTCAATCTGACTTCCACCCCCTCCATTTTACTGAAACTGCTCTTCTTAAAGTTACAAATGATCTAATCACAGCAAAATCCAAAGGGCACTACTCCATACTAATTCTTCTTGACCTCTCTGCTGCCTTTGATGCTGTTGATCATGTCCTTTCGGGTTCTCCTCCTATCTTTTCCAATGTTTGTTCAGTATCTACTTTTGCAATGACACCTCCTCTTGTCGTGCTGTCTCAGTTGAAGTCCCCCAAGGATCTGTTCTTGGTCCCCTTCTGTTTTCTTTTTGTACTGCCTCACTTGGCAAACTCATTAAATCCTTTGGATTCCGCTACCATCTGTATGCTGATGACACCCAGATCCCCTGATCTCTCCCCTATGGTCCTACAACATGTCATTGCTTGCCTTTCTTCAATCTCTGATTGGATGTCATCCCGCTTTCTAAAACTCAATCTCTCTAAAACTGAGCTTCTTATTTTTCCTCCTCATAATGCTGATGCTCCTCCTTCACTTTCCCTGCAAGTTAATGGTACTTGCATCAGTCTGTCCTTGCAAGCTTGTTGTCTTGGTGTAATCTTTGATCCTGGCCTCAACTTTGCGCCTCATATCCAGTATGTTGCTAAAACCTGTTGATTCCACCTTAAAACATTGCCCATTTCTGCCCCTTTCTCACGCTAGATGCTGCCAAGGAGCTTGTTCATGCTCTAGAAATCTCTTGCATGGATTACTTTAATTCTCTCCTAGTTGGTCTCCCCAGAAGCAGAACAGCCCCGCTACAATCTGTGATGAATGCTGCCACCAGGCTGATCTTTTTTACCCGTCTCTCCTCCAATACCTCTCCCTCTGTCGATCCTTACACAGACTTCCTGTATCCTATAGGTGTCAATTCAAAATACTAACCCTTACCTAGAAAGTTTTAAACAACTCTAGCCCCTGTTACATTTCACACTCCAATCTCACTTCCAGTTCTGCTACTTTTCCATCTTGTTTGGTGGCTGTCACCCTTACTGCCCTATTATGTTTTTGTACCCCACCTCAGCTAGACTGTAAGCTTGTTTGAGCAGGGTCCTTATCTACCTATTGTTCCTGTGTCACTGTTATTTATTGTAAATTCTCCCATCCCCGTTCATAATATTGTTAAGCGCTACGAAACTAGTTGGCGCTATATAAATACCAATAATAATAATTACTTCTCCCACACTAAGCACCCAGTTGCCCCAGTTTGACTTTGATAAATATGGCTACTTGGTTTTGTCACACTGTTTAAATTTGTATATGAGCTCATTATACATTAACTTTTCTTACACTTTGAGCATACTAAATGTGCAATTGTATCATTGAATCAGGCCTTTCTGGATACAAAAGTACCCAGAAAAGATTATTTCATGTGTTGCCAAATCACCTCCCCCTAGAGTTATACAAAGAATATTTTGGATAAAATTCTTCACTAAGATTTCAAGACAAAGATGTCAAGCTTGGCACGCAAATGACATGTTTTCAGAACTTTTATTATGCATAATGTGACATATTGTGGTAGAATCTCATTTAATTTTGTTATTTTATGTATTTTATACACAAGGAGAAAATGCACGGTTTAGATTTCTTGCTATATGTTTTCCAATTTGTATGGAGCAAAAAGCGTAAATGGTAAATCCAATCTAACAGCCAATGTTTTTTTTCTCATTAATCTGAAATCACTTTGGGAACAATTCAAGCCCAGATTTTAACAACAAAAACTCTGGCCATCTGGATACAACTTGATTGAATCCCAACACGTCATTGAGAATATCGGCAAACTCACCAGTTGTTTAGCCCTATAACGGCCTGGGTGGATTATGAACTGGTTGGTGCCAAGTGGCACTGTGACAAGGGGAATGATATAATATGTGAATGTAGAAATATGTCACTTACAATTAAGTTTGCCTCATGGCCTATTGCAAAGTCCTCCATCAAGAAAATGTCTGCATTTTGTGCCAACAATGTTGAAAATACCATACGAATTATAGAACATCTCTTTCTTTATATATATATAAGGATGGGGGAACTAGGGAGAAGACGTGGATGAGAGGAATAGAGAAAAGGAGAGAATGATATAAGAGAAATTTGCTGGATTAGGATGGCATGAGCAGAGAGGAGGGTGTGTGGGTAAACCATGAAAAGAACCATAGCATTCTTTGAATGCTTTGACAATGTCTGACATAAGATGTACTCTTTGCCTTGTTTGTCTTTAATTTTGTATATTTAAAAATGTTGTGACCTCTGTTTAAGGGCTTTAGCTAAAATATTTCATTTTCCATTACCATGTGTTGGTGTTGAGTCAGTAATATGTTTTTTTTTTTTTTAACTTAATGGCCTAGCAATTGAGAGAGTTCAGTTCTCAATATGGTCAGTTGTCTTCAAAGGTCTATGCACTGGTCTATTTTATGTCATGTTTCTTGGTCATGAATGCTAGCAAGAAGAGATACTACTTTCTTTTCTCTGTCTTTCTTAATCTTGAAGCCCAACTGTATAAAGAAACCCCTTAGTACACATTTATGTGTTTCCCATGTATTTAAAGGTGAGGTATCGGAGGCTGGAATATCATGGAAGAAATTTTTTATTGTTTCTTTATCTTGTCGTTTGTGATCTGGAGCATGATAAATTGTATCATTAAGCTTCCAGTTCCACACAATTTTTGCGGGATATTGTAGGTAGGAGTAAGATGACAGATACAGGGGCATGATCAGTTCATGTTATAAGACCAATTTGTGACTTTTGTAGTAGGTAGAGGAATCTATGGTTAATAAAAACGGTGCCTAATCTGGAGTACAAATTCCTGGGATAAGATAAAAAATTTAAAATTATTTTTATTCAGCACTTTCCAGCAGTCTACTAATTGGTGCCAGTGAATACTTTTTAAGCACATTTGTTTGGGGGCATAAGCAGCTGGGATCAAGATCATATTGTCTCGTTAGCTTTTTCTTGGTGATGTTGAAATTGCCTCCACATAATGTAATGGCATTAGCAAAATGTTGACAGTATTTTCTTTATAAAGAAGCCTTGCTTAGTGTTGGGGACATATATGTTTGCAAATGTGTAGTCTCAGGAGCAAATCTTTTAAATGATGAACAAAAATCTGCCGTGGGGATCATTCACCCGGTCATACAGCATCAATGCTCTGTGAGATGCAAATAAAATTTCAACCCCTCTTTCACTGCCCCCTTCCTAGTCACTAAAATAGCCTATTTTAGCAGTGTGCACTCCTTGAGGGTAAATGGATTTCCTGTAACATTAAGATCTCTGCACCCATTCTCTTTAAATATGACAGAAGTTTACGTGTCCTCTCTGATATATTAAGCACCCAGACATTAAGGGATATATTTATTAGCTGTCATAATATGTGTAATTTTTGGGATTACTTATCAGAAGCATTGTCTTTATTTGTAGTGAGGTCTTGTGAATGCAGTCATTGAATCTTGAGAACAATATTATAAACAATAAAAAATAAAAACATATTTAACTGAAGATAACGTTGGGAGAAATTAGATTTAGTAAATTAGATTTAGAGAGATTGGTGTCAATTCCAGGAGTAGAGGACTGGAGTCAAAGACCCTGAGAATAAGAAATTCATGACACTGTCCCATGGAAGGGGGGTAACCTGGTGCCATAGTATAAAAAAATGAATCTATATAGAATGAAATGACCTCATGAGTAGTCAATATTAAATGAGCTAGTTATGTAGCTTATCTTCCACTTTCTATGAAATATTTTGGGGTGGTATCTTACTAGGGTTCACATTTCTCATGTGTAATTAATGTATATCACAACTAGAAAAGTCACAATAAAGCTTGAATTGTATATATTCAATGATGTTGTGAAGACCGTAAACCATGACATTTTAATTGCATGCTAGTATAATAAATAAGCCCAAGAAAAAAATAAACTATAATTATTTTTCCCCTTTAAATTATCAAATGTAGCAGGTGTATGTCTGCCAACTTTACTTTAACTGGGTAAATAATATTAATAATGTTGGTTGGAAAAATAAGCTGGCACCCCGTTACTCCAAGCTCCCCACCACTAACATCATTTTGTAGCATATTATTAAGTCAGTGACTACACTTTGTCTGAACATTAACTAATAGATAATTCTATATGAACAATGAGCTGTTAAACTTACCCAGAATGAGATGGGCTAAGATAAATCCAGTTGAGTGCCATAAGCGATTTGGGCAATGGACAGGTCTTATCGTGGATAGAAAAAGGTAAAGATAACAAGAAAATGTAAAAGGTTAAAGGTAGAAAAGCTAAAAGAGTAAAAATCTCAGAGTTCAGGTCCAGTCTACTCTTGTAGGGTGGTCATCTTTCCTTGCATTAGGTGTCGATCTCTGAGGTGCTTTATAATTCTTAGTGGGCAATTGCCATCTGTGCCTCTGTGGTTATCAGGGTGTTGCCAGGATATTAAGGTCTCCATACCAGTTTTTTAATGGTGACGTCTTGTTGACGCATAGCTTGAATAAAGATAGGAATGTTCTCTGATGTGGTGATCCCAGAGGTAACTTTGTTGTGTGAAGGGATGAGGGAAAAGGTACTTCATCTGTTTCCCCAATGGTACTTGATTTGTTTTAATCAGAGTTGTCCAGTTATAGGTGCCAGAGCTCTTCTTCTTTGGATAGTGGTCCATGAAAGATCCTGGAATAATAAAAATTTGTGGGACCATGGAGCGTAGTACTAGAGAGTCACGTGCTTTCCTTAAAATAGGATAGTTTAGAGAAAGTCGTATATGCAGCATATGATATCGCGAGGTGTATCCCCATCCCTGTTTTAAGGTTTTAAGGTCCCATGGAACCAGTCAAATTTAATAAATGTATTTTGTGGCACTCCAGGATTGAGTAAAAAGGAAGTCAGGACCAGATTGCTATCTTCAGGCCCACTTGTGGGTTCAGGAATTCCCTATACTATATTATTGCTGCTCCCTTACTTGTGAGTTTAATGCTGAAATTTGGGACTCCTGTTTCTCCATTCGGTCCTCCAGGCCTTGCACCCATGCTCTGAAGGCCTTCAGGTTGGAGCCCAGTTTTGTGATCTATGATTATATGAACTTATTCAGAGTAGTGAGCATAGGTGCGACATCTTCTTTTGAAAGTAGTTTGTTTACAAGCACTTTTAGCTCAATGTCAGGTAGTGTGTAAATATCAGTTGGTGACTTGCGATGCCACATGGGAAGGGACACAAGACTTTATATTGGATCTGGAGGCCTCTGGATCTCCACTGGCTTCATCACCAAAATATTTACTAAGAAGTTGAAAGCTTGATCCCCAAGGATCCCTGAATGAATTTGTAAGTGCAGTTTGAATAAACCTTCTAAAATGCAATAACAAAATCTCACTACTGGGGCTTTATTCTTCCTTTTATATTATCAGGTCTGAACTGGTGGAAATCAAAGATTTTATATGATTCCACAAGTGCACGAAAAGTGCTGTTTTCAACATTTGAGGTGATTTCGGAGATATATCTTCACCTTGATACTACAAAAAATAATGCTGCCCATAATGAGAGGCTGTGATATACCTTTTGAGTTTTGTCTTCCATCTAGAGCATTTCATAAGTAGTTGGTGTCTATTTTAATGGTTAATACCCTATTATTATTAAATTATGTTTTTTCAGTATCACCCGTTTTGTTGGTTTCCTTTATAATATATGCATATTTTGGGTAGTGCTTCCGAGTTTCATATATGTTTTTTTGGGAGCCAAGGTCAATTCCTTGGGTTTTGCATCCCTCCCTGTCCAGGGCTATTTAACCTTTCACTGCAGAGAGCCCCAGAGGATGGATTTCACTGAATACATGGGTCAATCTCATAAGAGCAGACATAAGGTTGCTAGAATAGGACCTGCCGAAAATGCGGTACATTGACGTTGCGGCAGGCTTATGCAATGTATGATAATTTACAGTAACTAAATCCCCATTATTTTTACACTTTTTTAAAAATTACATTTTGTGAGCTTTGAAGCTGGTGTTTAGTGAGTAAGTGCGCTGGGTTCTGTATTTAATATTTTTAGAAAGCAGTCCAATGGTTTTAAGATTTACAACTAGCTGGATTGCCATTAAAATGTGTGCATGCTGCGTTTCCCTTTTTTTTATTTTAGAGGCTATATCGTGCTCTGCTGTCGTTCTTTATGTCAGTGCGAATTTGCTAATGGAAGTGTATTACACCATGCCTGTCTCTGGAACAGCTGAGCTAATGCTGCAGGCATTCTCTAAGGACTGGTCAGGGGAGGCAACACATGGCCAGCATTTTTCCATTTCTCAAGCACTATTTGCACACACACATGCATATATACTAACATACACACACACACACACAGATACACCATGTATTTACACTGAAAAAAATGTCCAAATTACAGGAAGCTGTGGAAGTTTGTACAATGACCCTCAAATTAAAGAACAACATACGATGCTACATATGAAACAACTGGCATGTGTGAGTCTGGTCTTTCATATTTTTCAATTTCGCATTTAAAATGTTAACGCTTTAGTGCCTGATGGATGCTCAATCTGCTATGCAATCTTCCTCAACCCTTACTCCTTCAACAGATATAAAAGTATATAAATATAATGGAACAAAACACTTGTGCTATATACAAGGATAAATCTCCAGATGGTTCTGGCTATTGAAATTCAAATTTAATTACACCGTGGATAAATCAGATGAATCTATAATTTCTTCTATCATTTTTGTTTCAAAGATTATTATTTTTTTTGTTTTTTTTTTATAAACTGTAGCTGTCTGACAGCACAGGAATGTCCAGGGCTATCCATCTGTTCACTACGATTACTTTTTTATTGACCATAGTCTGACTGAGCAAGCTCTGAGATTTTACATAATAATACTGTCACTTGTGGGAGTGATTTACTGAAGGAAAATAACTAGACAGCTAAGATCTATACAGGAAAAATGATAAAATAAACCTGATAGAACAGGATTAACTATAAAGTGATGTTAGGTAGATGCCTAGCGCCATGGGGTTAGACAAAGGCCCTGGAACATGAATTTGCATGGCCCTACTAAACATCCCTATGTAACAAATGAAGGACTGCCCAAAACTAGTAAGTTAATCCTGTTATGGGTAGCAACATGGTAAAAACAGAAATTAACAAAACAAAAACAACAAGAACAAGAGTCTACTGACCCAACTTCTGAAAATGACAATGGTGACAATTTGGCCTCTGACGCACTCATGTTGACTATAAAGCAGGGATCTCTATCCCTTTGATCGATTAAGAGTTTGGGGAATCTGTAATTTTATTGAAGCAGTTCCCAGAAATTTAAGAACTTTGCTTAAACGAGAATATTATATAAAAAACTTTTGCATAATAAAACAAACATAAATAAAATAAAAAGAAACAGTTTTGTAACTCTGTCCTGATTTGCAGTATACAAATCTCTCTGTACAAAATGGCAAGATTTTCCAATAGGAAGTAAAATTAATCAGAATCTGATTTGTAGGTTATTTTTTTATGATGCCATAGCTATTTTTACTCTCTTATGTTATCATATATACAGCTCATTGTTGAAATGTCTTTAATAAAGATATTGGGAAAAAAGTAAATGGGAGTCTCATCTTTGAATGAATAGACTTCTTTCTCTGTAAGAAATAATGGCAAATCAATCAGACTATGACTGCACTTTATGGACTGTGTCTCCTGCTCACATGATAGGAAGCAAACTGTGGGATGGATTCTATTGTAAGAGATAAATCTAACTCTGGTAACTAAATGAAAGTTCTCTATTGACTTCTCTGGAACAACTGCTATTCAGTTACAAGAGATAAGCTTATCTCTTATGAAAGAATTTAGCTCTTAATGAGAGTAAAAAAGTTCAGTTCTTTAGAGAATCTTTTAAAATGTGTGTATAATGCAATGGGGGGCCTAGAAAGGGGAAAAAAAGAACCACAAAAGATCTGTATGTGTGTACACGACTAAAAGACAAATCTAACTTTCAAGAGTAAAAAAATTATAAAAAAATAGAACCTGTACCCATAAAAAACTAAATGCTAAACTAAACTAATGTAGAACAAGGAGGGGAAAACTTAATGGATAAGTATGTGGCGGTATACCCTCCTGAAGATGGGTAGATGAGTTGTGATCAGCTCCAGATTGAGTATAGCTGCGGAGTAGTGATTATAGTTACTGTCGAAGGGTAACCATAGTATCACCCAAACACTAGTCGAGACTGAGTGAAGGGTGAAGTAGATCTGTTTATTCCCAGCCAAATGGCTCACATTTATACAGATTCCGGTACAGTAGACACTCACCAAAACACGCCCATAAACACACCCACAAAATTCCTTGTCATCGTGACTCAGCAAAAACAGTAGCACATATGAAAAACCATAAAAACACATATTTCCCACATAGGAACCCCCACAGTCTATACATCCCCGGATAGACTGGATCTGAGCCCCCAACATATCCGAAAAGCACTCAGATCCCATGAAAAGAGCCCTAACGCCACCGTGTGGAAGTTCTGACTGGCCGCACACATGGTCCTATGCTCAAAACAGTTCAGGGTATTTTGTGCTTTTGGCCGGTCAACTTTGGAAGTTCCATGTGAAAGAAATACTGAATGCATACTCTGGCTTCTTGGTAGAGCTTGTTCGTATGAACCATACGAACAAACCTACTGAATGGCACTCTCCTGATGTATGTGGGGAAGGAGCAGGCATTTAAGTTCAGCAGTGTTCGGGAGTTTTAGTGTCCGATTTTAGTTCCACGCGATCGACGCCCAAACACCGCTGTCTGCATTCCTGCGAATAAGATTGCCACCGCACAATTATAATCCACACTGATAGAACTGTCAGGAGAGATTAACAAGGTCAATAAGCTCAGAGGCGGTCCACAGTTCATAGGTTAGTTCAGTTCCCGAAGAGTCCAAGGGAATCCCACAAACCCAGTCTTTCAATAGCCTTTTAGCATGGCCCATAGTCCTGAGGCAGGAGGCTAGCAAGCAGGCTCCTCCAGGAGCTCGTGGCAAGGGCAAATTCACCACAAAGTATAAGTGTTTATTTTTGGGATCTATATAATGCAGATGCCTGAGTTTAACAAGTTAACTGTATTTACTGTTAAATGAAAACATTTACTAATTATTCTGATCCTATTAGAAAGGATTGTGAAAAAAGAAAACATATATAATCTTTGGTTCAAATGATGTAAGTGTATGGCTTTTACATTTTCCAGATATCTTTGAACAATATTCTATAAGCAAAATATACTATTCATTATAAAATAAATATACTATTTATTATAAAGCTACAAACACTATCCTATAAGTAAATGTTGCACATTTTTTTCCAAGCAAAGAATTCGGTACCAAATCGGTTAATATACAATTAAATGTACTGAGACATGAGAAACGCTGCTGCAGAATTTTGCATTGATGAGATTGGAAGATATTGATCTAAATGTACAAGTCATTTTTTTCCAAGTATCAATAAAATTTAGAGATGTTTCAATGTCGAATCTACAAATGAAACTACTAGATATGCTGTCTGCCAGTAATGGTTAGTCCATACTAATGAAGCATTTAAATCAGAAACATTTGACAAAGAAAGGTTAGCGCTATGTTACTGATGTGAATCTACAATCTAATATGTCATACATACGTTGCACTGACAAGATCTCCAGCAAATGCAACCATTAGAAGATATTTATTTGAAACTTTCTACTCACCTCTAATGTTGCAGCAGTGAATAGGAACTCATATACCCACCTGTAATAGTCTCACAGTGCCTACTGAGTGGCATGGGAGTGCCACACACAGGATTGGGGACAGAAAAATTGTGCGCAACCAGTTTGGTGGTCGTACTTATAGTGGTTAACTCTTCTGCGAGCAGCATAGAGTAAGACTATAAACTAAATATAGCAATTAAAACATTGCTTTATTTTCTAGCAGTTTGTCTAGCACAGTCTATAGATGTGTTATCACGTTGCAATAAATAAACATGAAATGAAAATATGTAATAAAACTGTTACTGATATATTAGAAGAATTTGCTAATATATCAGCATTCAGGGAATGTTCTTAGGAAGCAAACACTATTGTTCCTACTATAGTGAGTAGCCAATCTAGAATTAGCGGACCTTTCTGGCAACTTACCGTAGTTATGCACCTGAAAATTCTGCTGGGTATATGGTAATATGGTAATCCTGAACTCAGCAATCAGTTCTGGAATTTGCTTTTGGCGTGGTTATATCACCATGCTACTCTGCCGCAGGTCGAAACTGACGTCACGGCAGCTCAACTCAGCAACTCTCTAAGATAGCCATTATTACTTAAAATGGCACCATATCAACTTCATCAGATTTCCGTTGTTATGGTACCATGAGGTCACAGGACACTTTCCTACCTGAAGAAGTTAAGCTGTTCTGGAATGGTTTAACCCCAAAGATTGCCTCGAGCGCCAGATCCCTAATTTCCCAGCAGCATTGGCTTTCAGGAAACTCTAAGTATCGCAGGGCATGGTCGCAACTGATTGGCTAGGGCTGTCAGCTGGGTAAATCAGAGATCTGGTGTTTGAGACAACCTTTAGAGTTCAGCTGCTGGTTTAACCTCTTCAAGAAAGAAAGTGCCAGGCGACATCGTGGCATCATTTTAATGAAGTTGTTATGGTGCCCATAATATTCCTTTAAGATTTCAGAAAACAGATGGATTGCACTAACATGGCACCTATTGTTAATATTGATATCCAGTATTCTTTTTGTAGGGTGACCCAGGAATGACACAATTACATTTTCTGTGGTATTGACACAGTGTCGTATTAATGATCATATCTGGTTATAGATTCACAAATTGTTCCACTTAACGTAGAGCTTATGTTGTGTTTATTCCATTTTCTGTAAATTTATTCTCACAATTTCCCTTTATTTCACATTCTTTTCTTGTATTGTGTGCTGAGCTCATACATAAATACTTTATGGCTTATTTTATAGATATGTATTTATTAAGTAATAATGCATTTCGTTTACCTTCAGTTGATTCTAATCCTCAATCATCATATTCGTTTTGATTTATTTCTTATGGCTAGATTGCAGCATTTACCGCTGCAAAATAAATATTCTAAAACATTAATATTTAATTTTATTTTCATTCTGTTACAGTGAACACGAGCAGAATGTTTTCAATAACACCCTCCAGTGATATAGCTGGGGTCCACAACATGCAATCAGTGGGCATGCTAAATTATTCTAGAGACAAAACAAAATGTGGACATGTCGCAGAACAACAAAGACTGAATAAAAGGTACAATAAATGAATAAAAATAGCCATGTTTATCATTCGGTAATTAAATCATTTCCCACAATTAAGTTAGAACTAGATTTAAAAATGACCTGTAAGTTGTTCTAGAAAATTTGCATGCAAATATGTACATTAATAAAATGAGAAGTCTTCAATATTGTGATATCACGATGAGGCGAATCCATGAATTTTCTTTGTAGCAGCTGATTTACATATGAGACTGCATATTACAACGGAACCAACTGACACGTCAGAGTATGTTCTTTAACTTTCTATACATTTCATTGCACTTTTGCTGGTACAGTGTATTGACATTATTTTGTTGCTTAAGTGCAGAGATCCACAGTTTAGATGGTAAGATCCCTTTAAGAGAAGCTTGTTTTATTTTGACAAAGAACACAATTAAAACATATATATTACTAAGGTTTTAGCATAGCAATGAAAAACAAAACAGCAGGAATATTATATTTTCTGTGCTCTTGAAAGTAATGTGTAACAGGTTTTTTTTTTTTACTTAGGACTGAATCTGGACAATGTTTGACAAAATTTGGTTAAAATAAGAGAATGCCAACTGGGTTTCCAATTTTCATCTTTGCCAAAAGCAAATCTGGTTAAAATTGAGTTATTTCAAAGGAAAATCAGTTTAAAATTTAGTAGCTTTCATATGCAAATGCTTTTTAAAGGGTCCTTTGTCGTCGACAGACAGACCACTAGGGCTAAGGCAGGGCACTGTTAATCATTCCAATACATACAAGCTAAGGGGCTGGCTGTAATAGGTTAAAAGCAGTCAGCTGACAATCTCATCCAATCACCACCACCCTTTGTTGCTCAAGCTATTGTTTCATCGTTAGCCTGAGCAGTACAAAGGAGAAGGCTTATGATGAGATAACATTGGAGGTCTACTCTATACATATACATATATATATAACTCAGGTTATTGAGATTTTAACAAGAACAAAATGGGTCACGCAGGTCCTAACAAAGTCAGGGCCCTATCACATCTAGGAACTATCACTTGGGTTTTGCAACAAAATGATAAACTAAAAGTAAATAAGCTGGCAAACGATGCTAAACATAATAGCTTATTAAAGGTCTAAGGCCATGAGCATTGGTTCAGATCGTGATGCCTCTATGGTATCAAGGTGCACCGGCTATGGCTGCTTCTGCATTCCCAGGTTGGTTGCCTGGCTGTGTCGTTGAGGCTGTCATCAGAGTCGGGAGTCCCAGTGCTGCCATTAGTGCTAGGCCCTCTGAGTGATCCGTGGCCTTGTAGTGCTTGTCATCTTTGGTAATCCATAGGGTCCCTGGAGTCGACCACTTGTAGGCAATGCCAGCTGCTTGGAGTGGTTTAGTTAGTGGCTGCACTTGTTTGCGCCAGAGTAGTCCTGGAAAAAGTCCTGAAAAAAGTCCTGACAGTCCTCGAACTCTAAAGGAGTCTTTCCTTGTAGCGCTGCTAAGAGTCCTAATTTGTCTGACATGGATTGGCAACGTAGTATAATGTCTCGCAGAGCTGCGTTGGGTGCTTGTGGGGGATTTAGCAATTTTATAGACTCCGTCCAATAGGAAGGTTTTGGCTTGTCTGGCTGGTAGTAGTACGGTCACAAGGCGCCTGATGAAGTGTGGTAATTCTTCTAGCAGCATGAATTTCTGTACCCCTCTGATTTTGACGTTTTTGCCTCTCCCCCTGTCATCCAGTAGGTTGACTTGTCTGGACGGGGTTGTCTGTGTGGTGTGTAGTTGTTGTACCTTCTCCCCCAGCGCTTGTAGGCCTTGTTTGAGGCTCTCAACTTTGTTCTCTGTTGCTTGTGTATGTGCTGTCACTGCTTGTACATCAACTTGTATCACTGCCAAATCAGCCTTCCACATTTGCCTGAGGTTCTGCTGTAGGCCTGTCCGCATGGCCTGTATGTCACTCTTTGAAAGTTGGGCACTGTCCTCTGTTACCCGTGAAGGAGCTGGGTGACGGGGACTGAGTGATGGGCTGTCTGGTGGTTCCCCTTCCTCTGAGGGCAGTGGGGAGGCGTCGTGGTGGGAACGTGGTCCGCGCTGCGCCTGGGGCCTGCAGCATTTGGCCTATGTCGCACTGTGGTTTTGGGATGTGTGTTAGCGGTTTCTGAGACCTGCGCCCCATCTCACCTGTGTTTGGTAGGCTGTGATACCAGTCTAAAACCAAAAGAAGAGGTACAGTTTGTGGCACTAGAGAACAGCTGCTAGAACACACTAGTGGGGTCTAATCACAAAAATCCCACAGAAACCAAAACACAACAATACAAAGAAGCTCATATAATAGATTCACAAAGATACAGGGAGTGCAGAATTATTAGGCAAATGAGTATTTTGACCACATCATCCTCTTTATGCATGTTGTCTTACTCCAAGCTGTATAGGCTCGAAAGCCTACTACCAATTAAGCATATTAGGTGATGTGCATCTCTGTAATGAGAAGGGGTGTGGTCTAATGACATCAACACCCTATATCAGGTGTGCATAATTATTAGGCAACTTCCTTTCCTTTGGCAAAATGGGTCAAAAGAAGGACTTGACAGGCTCAGAAAAGTCAAAAATAGTGAGATATCTTGCAGAGGGATGCAGCACTCTTAAAATTGCAAAGCTTCTGAAGCGTGATCATCGAACAATCAAGCGTTTCATTCAAAATAGTCAACAGGGTCGCAAGAAGCGTGTGGAAAAACCAAGGCGCAAAATAACTGCCCATGAACTGAGAAAAGTCAAGCGTGCAGCTGCCACGATGCCACTTGCCACCAGTTTGGCCATATTTCAGAGCTGCAACATCACTGGAGTGCCCAAAAGCACAAGGTGTGCAATACTCAGAGACATGGCCAAGGTAAGAAAGGCTGAAAGACGACCACCACTGAACAAGACACACAAGCTGAAACGTCAAGACTGGGCCAAGAAATATCTCAAGACTGATTTTTCTAAGGTTTTATGGACTGATGAAATGAGAGTGAGTCTTGATGGGCCAGATGGATGGGCCCGTGGCTGGATTGGTAAAGGGCAGAGAGCTCCAGTCCGACTCAGACGCCAGCAAGGTGGAGGTGGAGTACTGGTTTGGGCTGGTATCATCAAAGATGAGCTTGTGGGGCCTTTTCGGGTTGAGGATGGAGTCAAGCTCAACTCCCAGTCCTACTGCCAGTTCCTGGAAGACACCTTCTTCAAGCAGTGGTACAGGAAGAAGTCTGCATCCTTCAAGAAAAACATGATTTTCATGCAGGACAATGCTCCATCACACGCGTCCAAGTACTCCACAGCGTGGCTGGCAAGAAAGGGTATAAAAGAAGAAAATCTAATGACATGGCCTCCTTGTTCACCTGATCTGAACCCCATTGAGAACCTGTGGTCCATCATCAAATGTGAGATTTACAAGGAGGGAAAACAGTACACCTCTCTGAACAGTGTCTGGGAGGCTGTGGTTGCTGCTGCACGCAATGTTGATGGTGAACAGATCAAAACACTGACAGAATCCATGGATGGCAGGCTTTTGAGTGTCCTTGCAAAGAAAGGTGGCTATATTGGTCACTGATTTGTTTTTGTTTTGTTTTTGAATGTCAGAAATGTATATTTGTGAATGTTGAGATGTTATATTGGTTTCACTGGTAATAATAAATAATTGAAATGGGTATATATTTGTTTTTTGTTAAGTTGCCTAATAATTATGCACAGTAATAGTCACCTGCACACACAGATATCCCCCTAACATAGCTAAAACTAAAAACAAACTAAAAACTACTTCCAAAAATATTCAGCTTTGATATTAATGAGTTTTTTGGGTTCATTGAGAACATGGTTGTTGTTCAATAATAAAATTAATCCTCAAAAATACAACTTGCCTAATAATTCTGCACTCCCTGTATATATCAGTGGTGCTTCCACTTTAGGTGAATGTGTAAATCAAAATAAAATTAAGGATAAATACCCCAATATAATAGTTGTCAGTAGGTATTAGCCCTGTACATAAAAAACAGAAGAATCATAGCATGATACTGCAATAGTGAGTAGATCTAATATAGTAGTCTATATAGTCCAACTCACATATGGTGGAGCCTGTTACTACCTGAGCCATTGGAGGTCTACTCTATACATATACATATATATATATATTTTGTAACTCAGGTTATTGAGATTTTAACAAGAACAAAATGGGACACGCAGGTCCTAACAAAGTCAGGGCCCTATCACATCTAGGAACTATCACTTGGGTTTTGCAACAAAATGATAAACTGAAAGTAAATAAGCTGGCAAATAAGCTGGAAAACTGGCTCAGGTAGTATCACTTTAAGAAACGTTCTCAGGTGAATTCCAAAAGGATAAGGCTTGGCCCTCAATATATAGGAGGAACAGGATAGGCAGACACCAGTTAGAAGTATAACAATAGTATCATTTATTAAAAAATATATAAAATCTTACATTTAGAATTCTGGGATGCCAGCAAGGAGCACAACGCGTTTCGACGCTAAAATACGTCTTCCTCAGGTGGTATTTATCCTTAATTTTATTTAATTTTAAGGTGGAAGCACCACTTATATATATCTTTGTCAATCTATTATATGCGCTGCACACTTCTTTGTATTGTTGTGATACCAGTCTTCCAGGTCAGGTTGCCCCAGGGCCAGATTCCCTCTGCTGTGGCTTGTTGCCGTTCGCCTGAGTGGTAGGTCTTGCTGCCTCGGCATCGAGTTTTGGAGCCGGGCGTGAAAAAGAATGGCATTGGCAATGTCGGCTGACTGCCCTGGAATCAGCATCGGTGTCCGTGACCAAAATTGGTGCTGGATACCCCCGATGTGGTCGGATTTGGGCTGTCTTTGCAGGAGCTCCGGGAATGTGCATCCGCTCGGTGTGGTGTCCAGTTCCACCCCCCTAGTATTAAGATATTTAAGACTGGATTATCATATTCAATACAGGAGATAATATGCACCTAAACAAGTGGTTAGATCTTTTTTTAGAAATAGTCAAAGCACACTGCCAGATTTGGAGATGGCATGTGAGTTATGCAAAAGAGCATAGTTTGCAATTATGCTCAAACAGTTAGCTTATCGGTAGTATTGTTGAGTTACATTACTGGGTAAAAGGAACATAAAGTGATTCAGCTCTTTTTAAATGATTTAGATTACATAGAGAAGGAAAATAGGAACTCAAAAGATTGTTGGTCAAAATAAGATTCTAGCAAAGATTAATGTCATAATCGAGAAAAAAATTGCGACAAAATAAAATGTAAAAACTTGATTACAGTTATCATTTCAATACTAATGTAATAATAGAATCATAATGAAACAAGAGAAAATAATATGACATATCAACTACATGTAATATATAAATATATAAATACATATATATGCTAATTTCAAAGATAGACGCTTTTCAAAAGGTTTAGAATTTGCACGTTGGTGGGTTTTCCATTATCATGTACGATTTATCTCAGTTGATGACTCATCTATTTACTACTGATATGAAAAAGAAATATCCGTAGTTTATAAGCTACAGGATGCAAATAAATAAAACTATCTTCTGTATTTTGAAAACAGGATTCATCAGAATTTTTTTATAGCAAAATTAGAAAATAAATCACATATGTATATTCTGTATAATTATAATTGTAGAGCACCAGCGGGTGTTCTAGAGCGGTTACAAATAGCAATCATGACATAAGAGATTGCTGCCCTATATTTGAAAATATTTGGAGTATAAGACACGAACCTATTGCAATGCAATTCATCTTTTAAATAGTGAATCTAATGTTCAGAAAAATGTAGTATTTATTTACATATTTATAGTACAAAGTGTTATAGCGGTTATGGTGCCTGGAGTGCTCTGGCACTCCTCAATGGTAAGTAGCCAACTCTTTTTAGAACAGTATGATTTCTTAACTGGGGTCCACGAGGCACCTCTCGTTGCCTCTACTACTCTAGCCAGACAGCCAGAAGGTCTTCTTTAGGAGCTTCCGTTAGTTCTCCTGTGCTAAACCCGGCAGTGCATTGTTATAGCATTGGCTGAGAGGGTGAGCTGATCACTCCAAATCTATTATAGTCACAGCTTGGCTACTTTAGCCTCAATTGTCTAATTGCAGGTTAGAAAAAGGCTGCATTCCTCTCAAGTGTCCTATTTAGGAAGGACAGACACTATTTCAGGCCCAAATCCCTCTGTACCTCTTTTCTATCTTTATGTTCCATTTTTGCAAGAGCTCCATGCTATAGGTATGTCTGAGTGTATAACAGAGCTCCACAGCAATAATACCAACAGTAATGTGTCTTTAAAGTACAATAAATGTGTTTCCAAATTAGTCTGCACAGAACAGATAAGATGCATTTTTCTTGTTCTGAATTACATTTTAGTTTTATAAATTATTATTAAAAGTCATCTATAAGTTTTCAGCACAATCCCATCCCTAGCCACACCTCTATTCACACCCCTAAATTTAAAGTGCCACTCTTTGTCCATTTGATATAATGTGAGGTATGTTGAGGGTACGTGCAGTTGTAGTGTGTAAATGTGCAATAGATGTTTTCCTAACTTACGATAGGGTAGTTGCAGTCTCCAGCAGCATTGACATACCCGCACAATTCTTACAAGCACTTTGATTGGCTGCAGACTTCAAACATGTACCCTGATGACATCAGAGGTTTTACCCTAGTCTGCTGCTCAGCCAAAGCTCAGTCAGGAGGAGAGGTAGGAGAAAGCCAAAGGATTGACATGAATGATTTCGTACCAGTGGTTTGTTTATGCCTACATATCAGCAGACAGTCTCAACCAATAAGCTAGCCTTGTACTGCCCGGCTTAGCTCACGAGAGCTAATGGAAGCTTTATCTTCAGAGATCCTGGCTCTCCAGCAGACCTCAGAAAAGAAATCTCATCCACAAGAATCCTCTGCGTCAATTTGGAGTCTATTTGTTGTTTAAGAGAGAGAATTTACCAGACAGAGTCGAATGTTACCAGACAGTATGAAAAGCACCAAGCATGACTTAAAATAACTTTTTTCATTGCTGTCGGTTTGTTTAATTTGTCCTGTCTCATATAACTGTCAGATATTGTGGTTAGGAAAACTTGTATTTTTAACTTAATTTGTCAGCAAATTGGATATTATTAAGCAGCTGCTTCATTAACTTTTTGTGGGCCTGCCTGTCAAGAATTTTTGTCGTTTTTGCTACAAGTACATTTTAAGGGTCCGTCAATTCAAAACACGTGAATTGTCCGTCCCACTAAGGACATATTTCTGACTAACTGAATGCTCAACCTTCACTTCAGCACAATCTGATCATAGTTTATCGCACAAGAGAAATAATGAATAACATGAGAAATTCGGGACCATAGGCATGCATGGGGATGGGGGGTGCTGGATGTGCCTGGGCACACTCTAATCCCCGCAACCCGCGCTGTGTGCCTCCATGTGCTGGTGAGGGAGATCAAAGACCGGTCCACAGGCAGGGCGGAGGCAGGAGAGGACTCTGGGAGCTCTAGCCAGCAGCTCCCTGGGGTTCCTCTCTGTAACGGATCACCTGGCACCCCGACTGGGTACCTCCATTGAAGGATGCTCCTAGCGCTTCCTGAGGGCTCCAAGCACTCCAGCAGACACCTCCAGGCACTGGACGCTACTCAGTCCTGGGAACTCTGGAACCGAATGGGGAATTAGCTCTAGTCCTTACAAGGACTTTCCCCGTTGAATCTCCTGCAAGCTGGAACAGCAGACACAGGAGCAAATATTCTTCCCTCCAATAACTGGACGGCACAGTTTGGAGTGTAATCAGGAACAGACTCAGCTGTGGTTTAATTGCTTCTTTTATACAGGTTTTTACACAATGTTACCACCCACATGGTTTTGTAGAACAGCTTATCAAACACGTACAATACAGTTAAACACTCCCATTCATTCCAGCAAAATGCTCCCCTCTGCCTGTGATATGATTACTGCACACAATGGGTTAATGTAATTATCACAGGCAGGAAAATACAGTTTTTATACAATTCTTATAACTCCTAAAATATACATCTAATCTCCATACATATTATTAATCAGTATACTTCAAATACAAACATACTCAAAAATCAGACAATTCCCTCCAGTGGTTTAAAAGTTAGTTGGAAGTCCCTTTTGACCGACCACAAGCATGGCCTTCCTGCCCAAAAAAGTTCCATAGATTTGGGCTGTGCAGCTGGCTTAAGCAACTGTAGTAAACTCAATTAGCTACAGGTAAAGAAAATATCACTGCAAGTCACAACTGCAACAAAACACATTAAAATACATAACTAATATTCTATAGAACTAAACCCCCACATTTGACCTCTCCCCAGATAGCTTGCATCTGAGCGCTCAATATAGCCGAACAGCGCTTAGATCCCACGAACGCAGTCAAATCGCCATGTGGTTAAACAATAGCAAGGGCTGTTGAGACACCGAGGAGGGACAAAGCAGCCAGTTCCAACTGGTATGGCAGTGTCCCTGGGACAACGCCCTGCTGGAGAACAATGGGACAGGAAACGGGGGAGGGAAAGAGGCACACCTTCCCATTGATTCAAAGGGGCAAAAAAAGTGTCCCAAAATCCAATAAGCCCAAACAGACTTTTTAAATGGCAATACTTCCCAGGGGCCATAGTCACAAGGCAAGAGGCTGGCAGGCAGGCCTTTGCAAAAACCAGTGGCGAGGTTCCTTTCGCCACACTCTCCCTGCAGGCTAGAGTTCACTCACCACTAGGACCACCATATCAGGGATGGCAGCAAGGATCCCCCCTCCTATGCAAAAGGTAAGAAGGGAGGGGGCCGATTTCTTAATCTGTCCCCCTACCCCCACACACAATCCCTCCAAACAAATTCACACACACACACACACACAACACCCTTACATACACACACAGCACCCTCACACACACGGCACCCTCACACACATACAGCACACTAACAGAACCCTCACACACACACGGCACCCTCACACACACACAGTACTGTATGTATGTGTGTGTGTGTATATATATATATATATATATATATATATATATAAAAAAACAAATAGAAAGCTTGGCACTCTCCTTACCAGGACTTGATATCCAACTGCCTGGGTGCAATCCAATTGCGTCCAAATTGTATTGTATATAATAGAAATCCTGGATTTCTATTACGGTATATATATATATATATATATATACACACACACACACACACACACACATACATACATATACACGCGGCGTGTGTGTTTGTGCTTTAGGTTGCACACCCTTATGCAATAGGCTGCGCACGCCTATGTTCGGTACATAGTTAAGTATTATATACATTTTACAATTTCTTATTTAAAATGTATAACTAGCCCTTCAATGTAAACAGTGTCAACAAGTTGAATTGTTAAGCAAAACTGTATTGCCGAGGTTAAAGTCCAATACAGCGACACACTTTATTTTATATAGTCAGTTCTTTTAATGTGCTGCTCTGTAAGATCATTAACTATGAAGATATCATCACTTCTGCCTTCAGCCACAATCAGTCAGGGTATGCAAATGATTATAGAAAGCCAAACACAAACTGTGCTGCCTTGATTGTAACTGATATATTCATTATCACTAAGTATTATGCAAAATATGGATATTTTGCCCCTCTGGCAGATAGGGGGTGATATTTTTAGAGATAAAAATCTATTTTACGTTTTCCTTTTCCTTTTATGTTTACCAGCATTCCCTCTAGATTGCAAGCTTCAGTGTGCAAAACAAATACTGGATTATATTTCTATGCCCCATAGAACATTGTAGATGTAAGGGTCTCTAAGTAATTAGGAGCTAAAGTGAATTTGAAACATTTTCTCAGATTTACGTTGATACTTTGTGACTTTAACTAGACTTGCAATAAAATGACATAATAGATATTTTTAGTCTGTGTCTTGTTTGGAGGGACAGTCCCTTTTTAGAAGCAAAATAATTCTATCCTGTGCTCTTGTATAACTAAGTGCACGTCAGGATTACTAGTAGATCCAGCACGTAGAACTGTATCACAACTGGGACTAAAAGGTAATGTCTTCACTTCAGCACAATCTGATCATAGTTTATCGCACAAGAGAAATAATGAATAACATGAGAAATTCGGGACCATAGGCATGCATGGGGATGGGGGGTGCTGGATGTGCCTGGGCACACTCTAATCCCCGCAACCCGCGCTGTGTGCCTCCATGTGCTGGTGAATGGCCGGACTTAACGTACCAGAGAATAATCAGAATACTTGCCGAGGTCAGGGACACAAAAGGGGACACAACGATGAGGGAAAGACAAAAGTCAAGGATACCAGAATACAGAAAGGTCAAAACAAAGCCAAAGTTAATACCCAGAAACAAACTATCAGGAATGCACTCTCGGACAACCACTAAGGTCAACCACGACAGGGCAATGAGCTGAAGAAATAGATGAGTTTAAATACCCCTCCTGTGGATCCGCACACGTCGACATCGTCCATGCTGTGGGCGGACGTGGGGCTACAAATTGGTGTCCATCAACATGCTGCAGGAGTCAGACGTATTGACGCATGGCCGCTGAACGGCACTACCGCACTTGTTGGCAAGGCAATCACTATCGATGTCGCAAGGTGAGGTTGAATAGTTTTCAGTGCATCACAGAGTTCTACAGCAGCCATCATTTTGCAATACTGTATTAATAGTTAAAGGGACACTATAGTCACTAGAACAACTTGTATTTGTTCTGGCGAGTATAGACAGTCCCTGCAGGCTTTTTGCAGTAAACACTGTTTTTTTTCCAGAGAAAAGGCAGTGTTTACATTAAAGCTTACCGACACCGCCACTCCTGAGATGCCTAATAGAGGTCCTTCCTGGGGCAATGCTGCACTGCCGTTCTGCATCTCCACGCTCTGCATGGAGAAGCCAAACTTTTCTAATAGAGATTCATTGATGCAATGCATCTCTTTGAGGAGGTGCTGATTGACCTGGCCGCCATTTAGCCACACCTCATCCCACCCCGCCTCCTTGGTGATGCCAGCCAATCCAATGCTTTCCCTGTCAGTCAGAGAGGCTGATTGGAGGTGGATAGGGGCCAGGCCATCATGGTGCTGGAAAATAGGTAAGTTATGACCCTTTGTGAGGAGGCAAGGGGGGGGCAAGCCACCTAAATGGTGGATTTAACACTATAGGGCCAGGAATACAAAAATGTATTAGATTTATTGCTTTCTGGTTTAGACAAATTTGGACCATGTGATCATTTATGGAAAAATTATTTAGATGAAAGTAGAGGGTGCAAAAATGTGCAAATCTGTGAACTGCAGAATATATACGAAATATATAAATACGTTTTTCGGTTATTTGGTTCACACATCAAGTGAGAAGAAGTGGCCAATCAAGGGAAAAAAAGAGTAGCATTAAAAACCTATATTTATATATTGTATATTATATATTTATTTAATATATTTAGTAATATAAATTTTAATTCATTCATCCACCCAAAGCAGTTGTACTCATCATATCGGATGACGGTAGCAATACTGTAGATACTCACCGATTGCACATAGCCTGCATACACAACTTATCCACATATTGGATATCATCCAGTTGGTACTGAGACTTCTGACTGTTTGATTGATGTCTCTCTCAGTGCTCAGAGTGGGTGCAGTACACTCTCTGCACCATTAATGCTGCAATTATGCTAAATTGTTTTTTTGTTTAGTAACCTTTTAAGTCACCTAATCCTTCTTAATGCCCTGACTTTTTGTGGCCAGATTATGCTTATGTAAAATTGCATACTTCAAGGCTTTTTGGATTAAAATGCAACCCAAAGTTGAATGCATGTTGGTGTATGTACGCTCTATACTAGTGGATGTGAAAAGAAAACGAATAAAGGAAAACCTTGCTGTACCTTGATGAATAATATATACTAATGGATAATCCAGAGTAGTCAGGTATACCTTAAATACAAAACACAAATATACAGAACATAGTGTAACCTGTATACAAAATGTAAATAAAAATAAAGTGCATAAGTAACTCACTCACACTTTTCTGAGCTAATGTACTAGCTCAGGTATATGCGCCTTAGGGTCCGTAGAGGCGACCCTTCCCCTCCTTTTCGTCCAAATAGTCTCCAGGTATATAGTCCTAGGTAATAGGTATAGGAGGAGAGAATAGCGTAGTACAGTCTGATGTATATAAGGTATATTAAATAAATAATACCAATATACTCACAAACCCTGAGCCAATGTATCGGCTCGCTTCATAAGATGTATGTGGTTAAGGACCACAATCCTTCTTTATAATAGCAGGTAAGAATAAAAGCCGTAAGTGTGATAAAATATATATATATAATTTATTGTATAAAAAGTATTACATAAATATAAAAAAATACACTATATCAATAAATCAACACTTGTGGCTGTTTTTTTGTTTAGTAACCTTTTAAGTCACCTAATCCTTCTTAATGCCCTGACTTTTTGTGGCCAGATTATGCTTATGTAAAATTGCATACTTCAAGGCTTTTTGTGTTAAAATGCAACCCAAAGTTGAATGCATGTTGGTGTATGTACGTTGTAAAAGATGTCTCTAACTGATGGGAAATATTTCAAATTTCCCTGACCCGACACTCAGGCACTACCCCTAAAGTAGCATTATCAGTCTGGTTATTTGAGATATTTGGAGAAATATATTAGATGGCGATATTGTTATCCTGTCCTAAAAAGACATTAAAATTTAAACAGCTTTGTTGAAATGCAAAGGCATTTGGTGCCAAAGTGAGAAACATTTTTGGCTCATAGAACATGATATGTAAATTTGAGCTTTGGAAGGTGTCCCTTCTGTCGATGCTTACATTTGTAACAAATTCTTAAATGCTTTGTCTCTTTGTGATATATGCCAGACATTTCTATATAGAATAATAATTATGTCTGTTTTATTCAACATGAAGTGACAATAACTTTCAAAACAGCTAATCACACAATTTTCCGAATACGAATGTCAAATATTTTCTTGATTAAATCTTTGAAATTTTTCACCTTTAGTTGCAAGTGAATTTTTTTTTTAACTTTACTATTTCTTAAAAAAAAAAAAATACAAAACTAGTAAAATAATAAAATAAACTTAATGAGAAAGATAAGCAGCGAAACCACAGGGCTAAGTGGCTCAAATCAGTTTTAAAAAGGGAGTAAAATATCGAAGTAAAAATCAGTTCTTAAGAATAAAAGCTGTGTGTTATTCCAAACAGAGATTCATTTCTCTCACTTACTGTAAAAATGAATTGTTGGGAAACGAGTGTTGCCAACACAGCGCTCTGTGTTCTGTAGACTCACGAGCAGAATGCTAGGTAGAAAAGTAGTCTTTTGAGCTTTTCGTAGTTCTTGCTTTGTGATGGCTGGCTAGGAGCCTGCACATTTCATGAGTACACAATAGGGAGTTGGGCAAGACTGCAGAAATAAATTTTATTAACACACAGTCTCTGCAGTACCAGACAGAATAATCTGCTTTAGCTGGCACAGCCCCCCCCCCTTTGAAGAAGGTCAAGTCAGTTAGCTGCCTAATACATGACATGTTTTATATCAGAAGGGGCTTAATTAAAGATCTGGAAAAATACAGATTTAAACCAACAATCTGCCATTACAATAAATGTGTTACTATCGTGCGTGTTCATGTGTTTGTGTATATACTTTGTGTGTGCAAATGTCGCTGTTTCTCTAAAAGATCTGTGACATATTATTATCTTCAATAATTATATGTATTTCTCAGGATCACAGTAACATGTACTTTTTGTAAACGGGTTTCTAAACCTACATAAAACTGAAACAAGGAAGACCTGAGAGTGCTCTTTGATATGTTTTTGTGTGTACATAAATATATAAGGAGCTGTAAAGGGTACATAATTTAAAAAAAAAATCATATATTACATGTCATCTGTGCAATTTATTGCCGTAATGAATGGATAATCATGCACAGATCAACTCTTTGCAGCCTGGTGGCCCTAATCTAGGGCAGAACTTGGACAAACATGTTCTTGATTGCCTGAGATGTTTGCATATTTGTTAGAATGTGTGGATGAGTGTATATATTTGTGTATTTGTTAGAATGTGTAAATGATTGTATATGTTTGTGTATTTGTATTTGTATTTGTTAGAATGTGTAAATGAGTGTATATGTTTGTGTATTTGTATGTGTATTTGTTAGAATGTGTAAATGAGTGTATATGTTTGTGTATTTGTAACAATGTGTAAATGATTGTATATGTTTGTGTGTTTGTTAGAATGTGTAAATGAGTGTATATGTTTGTGTATTTGTTAGAATGTGTAATTGACTGTGTGTATATGTTTGTGTATTTGTTAGAATGTGTAAATGACTGTGTGTATATGTTTGTGTGTTTGTTAGAATGTGTAAATGAGTGTATATGTTTGTGTATTTGTTAGAATGTGTAATTGACTGTGTGTATATGTTTGTGTATTTGTTAGAATGTGTAATTGACTGTGTGTATATGTTTGTGTATTTGTTAGAATGTGTAAATGACTGTGTGTATATGTACTTGATTCCAAAATCTTATTCCATTATAGGCTGCAGTTTTACTTGTTTTGTGACTTTGTAAAGGAATTAACAAGTGTTCAGATATTTTGGTTTCCAGGTCCTGTTGCCAGCCCCGACAAACTTGCCAAGTGTGATACAAATCCATTCTGTTGAATTGGAGAATAAAGGACGTGAAAATATATACCTCGGGGGGTTCTTTGACACCATGCTTATTTTTCCATCAGATTTATTTATTGGATTAAATCCAAATATTACCAGTGCTAATGTTGCTAATGGGCGGAGTCCCATAGTGAGAATGGGAAATCATTAATAGAGTAGGGAAAAATAATTTGTATCTGTGAAAGAGTTACAAAAATGTTTAAAACAGGGGTACAGTAGAAATTAATTTAAGAGTCTACATTTAAGGATGTTTAAGGATGTTTAAATAAATGTACAATGGCGTTTAAAGGGTCACTATAAACACAATCACGACTTTGCATAATTACTTGAATCTGTCACAGATCTGAGAGTCACGTACAATTATTTGTAAAAATCGCTGCAGCTCTAAACCTGCCTTTTGAGCTATGTTAAAGGGATTCTTTAGTGTTAGAAATACAAATCTGTATTCCTAACACTATAGTGCCCTCTCATCCCCCCTCTCTCGCACCCCTCCGGCATGTAAAGGGTAAAAAAACGCTTTATTTACTCACCGGATTCCAGAGACGATGTCCTTGGCGTTAGGTCAGAGCTTCGCCCTCCGATGTCATCCGACAATGGGGGCCTAATGTGCATGCATGGTGAACGACATAAGCGCATTAGGCCCTCCCCACAGGAAGGCATTGAATCAGTGCTTACCTATGAGCATTTTCTATACGCTGGACATTCTCATGCATTTCCTATACGCTGGACATCCAGCGTCATTTAGGTTAGTTAGGATCCAGGAGGTGCTCCTAGTGGCTGTCTGATTGACAGCCACTAGAGGCAGTCTAAGTCCTATAAGGTAATCACTTATGTTTCTCAAAAACTGCAGTTATTTACATTGCACGGTTAAATGGGATAGAGACAGTGCACCCAGACCACTTCAAGTGGTCTGGGCGCCTACAGTGTCCCTTTAATTTTTAAATACCTGAACAGAGCACACACAACTTGGATGATTGTGCTCAGTCTCCTCCTAGGTGACACAGCCAAGCTGCAGACTGTCGATTTGCCAAGAGCTGCACTACGCAGTCCACTGGATTATATACAAAACCCTGATAAGGCAGGCCAAAGGCTAGCCAGGAAAAGGGACATGTGTGAGTGAGTGTAGACTCAGGGCAGGGGAGATTTTGAGTGAGCATCAGGGGTGGAGCCCTGGGTAGGGGTTAGGTATAATATATCTAGGTGTCCATTTTCTGTAAGGGGTTCAGCCATCTCAATCTGGCTTGGAGCAGCTTACCTGTACTGTTGCCAGAGCTTGTTTTCAGATATCGATAAGGTACTGGCAGGTCATTCGCCTGCAGGCTGCTGCCGCAGTGGCCGCCACTGGTTACTGTGGCCCATGATGGCAGGCTCGACCTCCCGCACATTTTAGCCCCTCTCTGGGTGGCCTGGTGTCCCCCAGGCGCCGGAGCCCAAGTCCGGCCTCGCGACCTAGGCAGCCCATGACCCTCCAGGGCTTCAGGGAGGGTTGCAGCAGCCCAGATTCGGCCGGTGGGCCTTTGATTCCAGACGGCTGTCTTAGCCTAATAGAAGCCACAGGACACGGGTGTGAGGCTAGATGCGGCCCCCACCGTACATGTCTCTCCACCGCGGGTCGCCAGGAGGGCAGCGGCGTCCCGCGCTGTGCTCCAAGATGCCCAGCACGTGTCCTGCTCGTCTGTCATTTCTATGGTAATGAGGATTGGCGCCGCAAACCGGTCTCGGGGGCCCCGAATTTTGAGGTAGTGCTGTTCAGTGTGGCGTTCTCTTTTGCATTTTTCTGGGAGATGAGAGTGGGGGAGCTCGTTAGTCCTAGTGATAATGTCTCTGGAGTGGTACTGTGGGGTGATGTGGACTGCGCTGTGGATTTGGTGCGTTTTTTGTTGCGGTGCTCCAAAACAGATACTCGCGGGAGATGCGTATGGGTCTCTCTTTGGGAGATCCTGGGTTTGGTAGTTTGCCCGGTCTCTTGTTTTTGCTGTTTGGCGTGATTCGGCCGTCGGTATCCAGGCCACTGTTTGTCCACCAAGACAAGGGGCTGTAGTCCCGATTTCTGTTCATCAAGGTATTCAAGATGTCACTGGATGCATTGGGCATCCGGAGTCAGGAATTCGAGGGCCACTCTTTTAGGATTGGGGTGGCAACAGACCCAACGCACTTAGGGCTCTCGGATATGGCCATTCGCAGGATTGATTTTATATATCTGGGTGTCCATTTTCTGTAAGGGGCTCAGCCATCTTAATTATCCCAGCTTGGAATAGATTCCCTCCCTACCTCCCTTTGTGTTATGGTTTATGGTTTGTGTTTGTTTCTAACATGTGTTTTCTTGTCACAGCGTTCAGCGGAAAAGGTCCCTTGCCAATCAGGGTTGGACCAGCGGTCCAGTGGAAAAGATGATTGGAGCTGATCCCTCCTCTAACATCAGTTATGTTTATGGGTAATGTATTTGCCCACTGAGCCAGAGGCAGGCGTGTGGTTAGCATGGAGTTAATGTTAGGCCAGTTGTGAGGCCGGTTGGTGTATGGGACGAGAGGGGAGGGCAAGTGCCCAGGATCAGCAGGAATGGTTGACACAGCTGGATTTCCATCATAGCCTACGTTTGGTACTTTACATCCTCGAAGAGCGCTGTTCGGTGGAATTGTTCATCTGAATGAGATGAACAAGCTCCACGGTATGAATATTGACTGCGTTCGGTATTTTGTTTGTTTGGAAACTACCGAACTAGAGAGACCACAAGCCCTGATTCTCTGGAACTATTTGGGCATTGGACCATGTGTGCGGTCGGTCAAAATATGACTTCCATGGAGATCCTGAACCTCTGAGCTGATCTGGGTGATTTTGGGATATGTTGGTCACCCAGATCGAGGATATCAGGGGATGTAACTTTTATGGGATTTCCATGGGCTTTAGGGGTACTTTTGGGGTATTGCTGAAATGTGTGTTTTCTGCCTGGGATAATTGAGTTAGTACAGTCCATGACTCAATTATCTCCCAGGCACAGGGGAGGGATTGTCTCATTATGTATGAGAGTGTCCTGGATCTGAGAGCCAATGTAATCGTGTGTTTGTTTCTGCTGTGGTTTACTCTCAGGTCCAGGGGGAGTGCCCCTTGCATGGAAACTTGCATATAAGGCCAGTTGTGGCTACCAATAAACGAGTTCCTGCCTACCCTAAACATCCCATCTTATGTGTGGGGGCAAAAAGCTGTATCTGCTCTGGGAATTGCTATATCACAATACTCCCCTGGACAATAATTACTGGCTCTTGTAAGAGCTACACTGCTATACCTGCTATACTCTCTTGGGAAAGAGGTCTTCTGGGAGCTGGATCCATGAGTTTGGTCCAGGGTGAGAAGGGATGGCGAGACCCCAGTCAAGCTGCGGTGGCTAAGGGGCTACGGTGCTAATGGTGTCCAGTGTGGTGCTTATGGTACTCGGCGACAGCTAGGAAGCAATGATTGGCAGAGGCACCCAGTCGGGGTGCCAGGCGTTCTGTCACAAAGTGTAGTCCTTGTATATCTTGTAAACATTTATTTTGAGATGGGTTTTCTTTTAACCCCTGTTTTTTCCCTTATTGTCTTATTCCCTTGTTGTATTCTTATAAAATATAAAACTTTTCAATAAAATATATTTGAAAAGAATAAGTGTATGATTTATAGAGCTTGGGTGAAAACAATATTTACTAGATAAAAAAAAGGTATTTTAGTGTAGGGAGGCTGGTCACTAATACAAAGCCTCACCACACACTGTCACCCCCTACACACTGTCATCCCCCCCCCCACACACTGTCACCCCCTATACATACACTGTCATCCCCCATACATACACTGTCACCCCCCACACAGACACTGTCACACCCACACACACTTTTACCTCCCCCTACACACACTGTCACCCCTCCCACATACACTGCCGCCCCCCGACACACACTGTCACCTCCAGACACACACAGTCACCTCCCTTTGTAGAATTAATGCTCCCTCTTTCCACCTGTCACCTAAGACAGACCACCTTCACTGCCCCCCCGTTAGAACAGCACTGATATAGTAAATAATGTTACCATCCATATCTCCCTGCTTTGGTATGCTTGCCTCTTAACTATTTATCAGTTTTTCCATCTCTCTATTTATCTCTTTTTTCCACCTGACCTTGCATTATTTTCTCTCTGTGAGCAGGTCTTGTTGAAGCTTTGTCCTCAATTGGCTCGACTCTTCCTGTCATCTCCTGTGTGCAATTTACTGCTTAATGAACAAAATGTATCATACCACAAACCATGCTAGGAAAAGTGCACACCAGAACTATAAACCTGCAGGGTTGTTATCTAGCGTGACATTTTATAAGATTATGGCACTACTGAAAATACAGATAAAATTAAAGTTTGTAATAAAAACATAACTCCTAATGGTTATGAATGTATTCTCCTTCTGGAGAGTCAGTTTCAATGTGTGTAGGCTTTTAAAATCAAGTCACAATATGAAGTGCAACCACATTTAAAATAAATATTTCCTTATTTAAAGGAGAACTGTACTTTTTTATGACAATTCTACTTTTCTTCTAGTCGTTAGACACTATTGGAGAACCTATGGGTTAGACTCTAGACTCTCTAGACCAATAGTGTAAATGAGGCAATCCTTACAGGGTGATCAACATGCCCCTAATGTTCTGCTGGAGTGGAGTTAAGCTGATCTAGCATATAACTTAAAGGGACACTATAGTCACCAAAACAACTATAGCTCAACAAAGCAGTTTTTGTGTTTTATTAATCATGCCTCTGATGGTTTACTGCTCAATTTACTGTCATTTAGGAGTTAAATCACTTTTGTTTCTGTTTTTGCAGCCCTAGCTACACATCCCCTGGCTGTGACTGACTCAGCCAGCAAGAAAACAAAATGTTTTCATTTTTCTATCAGATGTAACTTACTTTAAAAGTATTTATCTCCTGCTCTGTAAATTGAACTTTAATTTCATACAGGAGGTTTTTAGATTAGAAATTCTAAATTAAACAAAATTTGCAATAAAGGAAATGTACACATTATATGACTCTTTACAGGAAGTGTTTAGGAACGCTGTGTAAGTCATTTGCATTAAGATGTGACTAGAGTTGTATAAACAAAGTGATTAAACTCCCAAATGGCAGAGAATTGAGCAGTGAGACTGCTGGGGTATGATCTATACACCCAAACTGCTTCATTAACCTAAAGTTGTTTTGGGGGCTATAATGTCCCTTTAACTTAAATAAATAAATAAATAAATAAATACAAATAATAGCTTCTACTTATTTAGTTTAACTCTAGTAGGTTCCACTTCAGATTAAATCCTTAAATTATAATCATCTATAGGGTTATTTTCGAAGAACTGACAACATTTGCAATTTTTTTTGTCAGTTTACCATTATTCACAGTTTTTTGAATAACACCAATATTTTTTTAATTTTGTGACAGAGTGCCAAAAATAGCAGAATTAACTTTCTGAATAAAAAAAGGCCACACACCTATATTAGGTTTATCCAATGGTCCTACCAGACACTCTTCAATGTGTTTTTACTTCATATAAAATTTCAAGGTAAAAGGGGAAGTTTCGATGGGCGCACGATCTGGAGCTGGCTGCTTTATGTTGTAGAGTGACTTTACACTTACTTTGAGAAAGTATATTCAGCATATTAAAACTTCTTAATTGTTTGTGGTAGATAAACCATCCTGTAAGAAATAACTAAGGCTTTCTCGATAACATATCAATTTAGTATTACTTGAAAGGACAACTGTCATCAAATTTTAAATTCTTTAAAAAAAAAAACATTTATTACTGTTAATGAAACTTGATTTTTTTTTTAAATGATGTATATTGATTTTCTGATAAAATTTAACTTTTTTTTTAATCTGGTTGAGCAGCCATATTGGCCCTACTCTACTGTTATCTGAGCAACTACTGCTGTTCAACCTAACTTGCCAACTGCGGCTGCAGGTTCACACATAGCAATCACAGCAGCAGGCAAGTGAGTTTGAGCAGCAGTTGGTCGTATAATGGCAGAGTCTGACCTAAAAAATTAAATATTCTCAAGCTTTAGCCACAACCTAGCAACCTTTTTTCAAATAACTAATTAAATACTGTGAGAATAACTTTACAAATGATTTATCTACAGACGTCTCCATTAAAGTCTGTGGTAACTTTAGCAGATAAATCATTTAACCCCTTAAGGACAGAGCTTCAAAAGCTTGTCTTTCACTTAATGACAACGGCATTTTTTTCATTTTTTGCTGTTTGCGTTCAACTGCAATTTGCATTTTACTGATTTGTTGCACCAACACATATTATACATTGTTTTTTAAAGGACAGAAAGGGCTTTAATTTGATGTAACACACACATATATATATATATATAAATGGTTATTTATTATAAAAAATACAGAAAAATGTAAAAGAAATGAAAATTTTATGTTTTTTTTTTTACAGTTTTTGCAATAATAATGTGTGCATAATTAGTGCAGGTTAAGAAAAGTAATTAAAAATAAATTAATTTAGTTGTTCTGATTTACAGAATATATAATGTGTCTGGGATTTTAAGTTTTTTTTGGTAGTTACAGGTCACAAAGTACAAGGAGTAAAATAGACTTTTAATGTGGAGCGATCTTAGAATTTGGTATGTTTGTCTTGTAAGCTTAATAGCCATAAAAGAAAACAAAATTGCTACACAAAAGTATATATTTATATAAAGTAGACATCACGGGCTATTTACCTAAGGTTGTTTTGACACTTTCTACATAGCCATTTCACCGCCAACCTCTGCTAAATATTGGAGTAAAATTGTGTTTTTTTTGGTTTTTGGCACACAAACTTATAACAAAGAAATTCTCATGTATATTTTGTAAAGTTGGTGTGTGCTATTCCTGTACAAAGTTTTATTTTGTGTTCAGTTACATCTGCTGAGCAAAATGACAAAAGTAGACTTGTAAAAGTAGACACTCCAGGGTATCTCATAAGGTGCATATTGTGCCTTAACATGCCCCCATTTTTTCACCAATATATGCCAAAGTATGTGGTAAAAAATAATTTTGTGCATTTTTTACATACGGATTGCATTTTTGCTGGGCGTTTTGTATATTTCATATTTGCCACTAAGTTCAAACCTCCGCTAAGTCTTCTGAGTAAAAAGACACCCCCAATGAATGTCTTTGGCACTATTTTGTGAAGCTACAGTGCTATAAAGGAGACCAAGCCATATCCGTTTTTACCGAACTTTGAATTTTGACGCTGGGCCTATGTGCAATTTCCAAGCATCTTCGCAGGTTTTAAATTCAAACTACCCCACAATGGCTTATCATTTCTTAAAGTAGACACCCCAGGGTGTTTCAAAAGGTATATTTTGAACCTTAGCGTGGGATCATTTTTCCGCTAGCTTGTACCAGATGTAGTGGTAATAAGCGTTTTTTCTGCCTTTTTGACATACAAAGTTAGTTTGCACAGTATATTTTGCAAACCTTATGTGTGCTACAACTGTATAATACTTCATATGTTGCTCAGCTATGTCGGCTGAGTACAGCAATAACCCCGTATGTACCTTTGCCTGGTATGTGTGGACATCGGAGGGGCACATTTGGGACACAGCCATTCAAGTTAATTTTACTGCGTGACGGACAAGGTCCGTCACTCGTCACTAAGGGTCTCCCCTCTGTGACGGACCTCGTCCATCACCCGTCCTTAAGGGGTTAAACATTTAGTACGTTTTCTATTTATTTATTTTTATTTATTAATGGTATTTATAAAAAGCCAAACATATTCTGCAGCGCTGTAGAATTAGGAAAAAGACAATACAATAAGAACAGACCGATACAACAGGTAAACAGTCTGAATGGTATTAAAAGGGCACACAACTTTTTACACTATGCTACTGTATATATGTGGCACTGAATCACAAGTCTCTTACCCAATTAACCTCAGTTCAGACATGCATGTTTTCCCATTGCTCTTTCAGCGAGAGACATGGTAATTTTGGTTGAAATCATGTAAGTTTGTTGCCAAAGCAAAGCAAACCAAACCACTCATTGTGAATAATCCCCTAGTCATGCTATTGTATTGGCACACGCATAATTGTTCCAGATTATTTGGCACTAGGATTATACACTGGTTTTGTTTTATTGTTTTTAAATATTAATAAATCTGGCTTGCCACTTTGTGTCCCTATGCCACTTCAATTTAAATCAATTTCCCAGAATTATTCTGATCACACTTCAGTCCAGACTATTCACTGCCGTGTTTATGAACCATTGAGATTTGGGAAACATTAGACATGTCTGTTTTTAAATAAAGGTATACACTTTTATATTGGGAATTCCAGTCTAGACAAAGAGGCAACCAAACAACAAAAAGAAGGTATTATTATTTTTTTTTCTTCCCTGGGTCTCAGTCTTAACCCTCTCCGAGTAGAGAGTTAGCTATATGTGAGTGGTAATCCTCAGAACCTCATGTTACACTGACTGCGACGTTTGAAATACATAATTGCTCTTCTATCTTCTTCATCTGAATCACTCCAGACTGATAATTATTGGTCTTGTTCTTTAGTCATTTTAAATGCTTTGAATCACAGAGGAATAAAAGGTAATAAACAAAGAAATCTGTTTTGCTTTGTGTTTCATAGGGACATTTTTGAGGACCTAAATTTTTTTTTAAAGAAAAACATGGAATAACACTTAAGGGTTTAATCGCTAAACAGTGATTTAAAATGAATTTAAAATTGTATTGAAAAATTATGTCTAGAATAAACAAGCGTTTGTTATAAGTGAGTAGAAGAAATTATTTTTAAATTAGATATTTTACTAAAATTTTCCAATTTGGGTTTCAGTTTTTAACAATTCCTTCCTTAGTTAAAAAGTTCCCTGAGTCGGACATTATGGAATAGTGACAGGGGAATTCACTTGGAGAATATTTACAATTCTTTACAATTCTTGATTAAGTGAAACCACCCAAAAAAATTTCTAAATGTAAATCACGTTTTCTAAAAATGGCACTGAAATGTAGCATTCCTTCCTAAAACACGAATAACAATGTATGTTATTACATTTCGAGATGCCATTCTGTATACCACTCTTGTAAAGACTGCTTGTTTATACGTGTATTTGTGGAATTTCAGCCACCATGAACTTTTCAGTCATTCTACTCTATCATTAACAGTGGATTTTTGCCCACAGAATTGCTGCTCACCAGACATTTTTATTATGAGACCATTCTCTCTAAACTCTAGAGCCATAATACCATGGAAATCCCCAAGAGTCAACTATTTCTAAAACACTAAAGCCAACCACATTAGTTTTAAATGAATTTCTTCTATGATCAGGGTGCGTGTGATCTAGGTTCAGCGTGGGAATTGTATGGTCATGTTGGTGATGAAAAGGCTTGGCCACATGTTTGTCAATTATATTATAACTTTTATGCATGTTCATAAAAGAACATTTCACAAATATATCGCTTACTAACAGTGAACTATCTGTGTGAAACAAGGCATTATACTCTTAATAAATATACATTAGCAGACGGTTACACTGTTGTCGTGACAGGATCTAACTGATTTCAATGTGTCCAGTTTTTCTGTGATTTTGTTTAACGGATTTCATCGAGGGACTCACTGAGGACCATTAAAGCACTCTAGCTTCAGCCTGCAATTTGGACTGTCATTATAGATACATTCTAGTAGGTTTTTTTTCTCCAAATCTCTTTATTGAAGACATTTATTGCACATCAAATAAGCACTTACCTATTCTTCTGAGAGAAATCAAGTCAGAGCAAATGACGTCAGGGAATAAGTTCAATAATATATTTACAAGTTGTTGTAACTCTGTCTCAAAGAAGAAATAAGTTGTGTACACATGCACTGATTACATCACAGCAACATTCCCATCTTATAATTTTCTCCTACATTAATCATTAGATCTGACAATGAAGTTTTAATGTACCATTTTACAATGCGTTTATTATTAAGTTCACTGCAATCAAAATTTCTTGTGTTTTGTTGAGAGAGGCTCATCTAAATCAAGTTCTGCATTTTTCACACATCTTTCAGGGCCTGTGTTTTCTTGTTCATTCAAGTTGAATAACTAAAGATCACCTCTTCCTCCGCACAAATAGATGGCAGAGCAATTTGGGAATTGTGTGATTCCACTGGCTGCACACGTTGTGTGTTTGAGGACAGACCTACTATGGTATGTATGGTGGAAATTCTAAGCATAATAAACACAGAATAGTACATAACACATTTAATCTGATACCTGACATCTACTTCAAATGACCTGTTCCAAGTCACCTCCATGTTTTGTTTTGGCAGCTGTTAATGGCATCTAAAACAATCAATTTTTTAATAAAAAAAAACTCTTTCAATTCATTTACAGGCATTGATATTGATTTAACAGGTTACATCAGTAAGTGATCATCTGGATTCAAATCTTCACTATTTTTATGTAAAGAGCAGGTGACTCACTTTCTGGAGAGATTGCTCATTAAAGTAAATAGCTTAAAGGGACACTATAGCCACCTGAACAGCTATGGCTTACTGTAGTTGTTATGGCGTCTATAGCAAATCCCTGCAGGCTTTTTAATGTAAAAACTGCCTTTTCAGAGAATGGTCTCAGAGAAAAGGCAGTGTTTCCATGGCTGCTTAGGGACACCTGCAGTGACAGATACTCAGACGGCCACTAGATGTACAGCACTGACTTTCAGTACCTCCATGCTATACTTTCATTGATTCAATACATCTGTATGAGGGGATGCTGATTGGCCAGCATGGCATTTGGCCCCACCTCACCTCTGATGATCTCAGCCAAGGAGGTGGATCTGTGGTGGAGCCAGCGTCGACGGAGCCGTGTGGCACTGAAATAAAGTTAAGTAAACTATTTATTTAAGGGGAGAAAGTGTTTTTAACACTATAATGGTCAGGAATACACATTTGTATTCCCAACCCGATAGTGTTCCTTTAACTGTGAATCAAGGCTGCATTGCAATACGTAACGCAAGAGGACATTGTCAAAAAATTTACTAGTTGCTTAAACATATATTAAAATAGGGAGACACATGCTCTAAGTAACTGATCATGGTTGGGATTGCAGATGCCCATTGGGATTTCGCATACAATACAGTCTTTGAAGTTTACAGAGAGTGATTTCATACACAAAAACATCAAATGAACAGCAGGGCCCTGGTGAAAACATGTTGTGTGACAGAGGTCAAAGATGAACTGCCAATTATGTTCCAGCGTATGTAATATGAAAATTAGCTCCTTTATAAATCCGATAGTGGTGTGCATAGGGGCATGTGTGAATGATTAGATTAGATGGGTGGTTTCAGCGAAAGACCTTGCAGATTCACCTCCTTCAGCTATGAATAGGAAGTGCAATCTACAGAGAGAATACAGTGATCACCAAACTACTCAAATAAAGACGTTTACATAGTATGAAAAATCTGACTACAGCAGCATGCAGATGATGATATCAGGATTTGGGGTAACGTTCTTGAATAAATGGATACATTTTGCTCTGTGCCAATTGAACAAGCTGCTTCTAGTGGTGTAATGGTGTGGGAAATAGTTCCTGGCACACAGCGAGTCCTTTAATACCAGATGAGCATCATTTCAATTCCTAAATGAGTCTAAGCAGTGTTGTGGACCATGTGTGTTCCTTTATGATCCCATTCTGCTCATTTGCAAACAGTTATGTCAAGAGAGATTATGTTTCATGTCACAAAGCACACATCATTCCAAGCTGAGTCCAAAAATATGACAGTGGCTTCTATTCACTCTAACGACCTGCACCGTCCGCACTTCTCCATGCGATAGAGCACCTTTGGGATGAATAGAATTTGGAGATTCACAGCATGATGTGAGTAATGGTATCACGTCAGCATGGACCTAAATTCCCAAGGAGGTTTTCCAGCATTTTCTTGAAAACGTTCCTCTAAGAATTCAACTTTTCTGGAGGTAAAAGGGGTATAAAGCACAAGGTAGCCGAACCAATATGAGTACATTCCAATCTCTAATATTTGTTGTATTTTATTAGTATATATCCTAAACTAGGGATTTAGAGTCAGAGCAAATAAACCAACATGACCGGCAGACATAAAATCCTAGAATCTGGCTTAATGCAAAGGAGATGGTTAATTCTTGCAACCTGAAGATATTTTGGAAACTCCTAAGCAAGGCGCTTGAGAAATATCCACATTTGTAATGAAGTTATGAGTTTCGGTTTACTCTAAAAATCAATTTATGTCAGTTTTAGTCACAATCAGCCATTCATGTCAATGGGATATTTCAGTTGCAAATGACACAACTAGTTTCTTCGGAGGGTATGACTTTTTTGCTGAAAGATCTGTTTTAAAGGATTCCCTCTAGCAATTTCAAATTCCCAACAATGCTTTTACTTCTTCAGTAGGAAAGGAGTTAATTAAGTCTGAAAACATTAAACCCAGCAGTTCTAAGAATCCATAGAGAGTATTAAAACCACTCACTGTTTATTCTGCCACAAACAGCAAAGAGAATCAGATCAAAAATGCAATTTCTTCCCTGTTAGATGCACTGCACCATACAGCAAGGTCTACAGGGAAGTTGTAAGATCTCTTATTAAACACTATATATACTCAACAAAAAGAAAATATATTTAGCCGTTTTGAAACAAAATCAAGTGCCAAGTCATCGCAGCGTTTAAAGCATTCATCAACCAAGATTACAACAGAAGTAATTGGCTCATATAACCCTTCATAAAAAAAATACATATGTTAAGGAAAATTGCAAAGCAGCATAAATGTAAATATGAATCAGAAATTGCCAAAAACACAAATTACGTCTTCATCTCTGTTCTTCAAACAAAAAAATAAAAAAATCCACTAATATCATCATTGGTTGTTGCATGTTAGTGTTTTAAAAAAAAAAAAAAATTTGTGTGTGTCTTTTCTTTATTATGTAAAATTATTTTTACATATGTTCTTCGTTTACAGTCCCATTCTACAGAATATAAATCTTTGTTATATCTTTGGTTTAAATAATATTATTGAAGTATTTGACAATTTTGCTAGTTTCCAAGTACATCTCAATGATTATCCTGCAAACTTAGGCACTGGGGGTGAGACCCAAAACGTTTCCAAGTGTAATTACTACAAATTAAATTATTATATCGTTCCTCCATTCTAAGGCATTAAGATTTTTGTTTTTTTATTTCTTTATTGAGAAATATATGACATAACATTAACCTCTTACGGACGGTGGGCGTTCTATGCCATCCTTTTGTAGGTGGTCCTAAACGCAAAAGGGGCGGCATAAAACGACTTCTCCGTCTCTTGTACTTACCGGGTACCCACCGTTCCCCAGACTGCAGTCGCAAACCTGAGGTCTGCTTGGGAGCTCAGACAGACCTCCTCTGCCTTATCTGCCCCCCCCTCCCCCAGCCATGTGATCTGGGGGTTCTCACGACACTGGCGGATCCAGAGTCTTATCTCGGGAGGGGCAGCTGGTGGTCACAGGTTAATAGAGGCTTATCAAATTGTGAAAGCCCAGGGTCAAAGTCCCAAATGAGATATAAGCAAAGGATAAAGGAACGTCAGGACTCGATACACGAAGGAAAGATATGGGCTAGACTACCTATATATGAAAATTCCCACTTGCTAACTACCCAGCCATATGTAGCAGTAAATCGTGAGAGAGCTACCCCAAAGGATAAAAAAGCGCCAGGACTCGACGCGCGTTTCGGCACTCGCGGGCGCCTTTTTCAAGAGTACAAAACTGTCTGGTAACCAAACCGCCTTTTAAAGGGAAAATAGGACACGCCCTCAGACAACACGTCATGAGGGGGTGACGTCAGCTGGATGGTGGCTCGTCGGGCTAAGTCCGCAAAGCGGAAAAACAGTTACCGTTCAAAAGTGCCAGAAAGCCAATAGTTGCATGTATCTAACATACTAACGACCTTTTGATATATAGTAGCTAGAAGGTGTATTTATTAAATATGTAACGATGTGATATGGGTTAACTGGATGCACTGGAAAAACCTTTTGTTCAACATTAAGTAAATAGATACAAAACTTAGAAAAGTGGCTATAATCCAATAGGAATGTAACAGTGTATTGGAAATATAGTAAATGCAATTAATTAATTGTGATAACTGTTAGGTATCCAAGAAAGAGGGGTATATTCTCCTATCAGAGATCACATATTCATCAATAATATTGAAACATAGTAGTGAATGTAGCTGAGTTTGTATCTTTCAAAATTCAGGAGAGAACTTAGCTCAACAAAAGTTGTGGGTTATAAAATACACAAATTTTTAATCTAAAAAGTAAATTCTCAGAAAATAATCATTTTGAGTTAAGTGGAGCTTATCCCATTAATGAATGGGATGAAGAAAATAAATGGGAGGGAATATATTTTTTATTGAAATGTTATTTGATTATTTGTATTCAATTATACTTGGTAAGAGAGATCTGACATAGAAAATTGTAAGAAAAGTGAAAAGGAGAATCCTTCATTGAGTCCCTTTGGGCTCAAAGTTTTTAATCTGTAAATCCAGAAGGATTCCCTTTGTCTTAAAAATTTATCATAGTCACCTCTCCTGGCATTTCTTTTCACGAGTTCCAAACCACAGAAACGTAGACCTTTGGGGTCACCATTGTGACATTCCGTTAGGTGTCTGAAAATCTGGGTATCCATTGGATTTTTAGGGGACCTTACGTGCTCCTGAATACGTTTCTTGAAAGGCCTAAAGGTCTTACCGATGTATTTGAGATTACATTGGCAAGTGAGTAGGTATACCAGCCCGTTAGTATTACAGTTGAAGAAAGACGTGATCGTAAACTCCTCTTGATCTTCGCTGTCTTTCACCTTTTTTGAATCTTTTTTGATATATTTGCAGGTGACACACCTACCACATCCAAAGCTACCCGTTACGGGGCTCTGAAGCCATGTAGTCTGTGATTTAAGTTGCAGATGACTAGGGGACAAGATATCCAGTAGGTTTCTCCCCCTACGTGCTGTAATAGTTGCGTTAGGGGTTAGTCTCTCTTTTAGGTGTTCATCGCCGGTAAGTAGTGGCCAGAAACGTTGGAGGGAGTCTTTAACCTTATCCCAGCCTGCATCATAGGTACCTATAAGACGGATAATCT